CCACAAAGACTGAATACAGTGATGACACCAAGCACAAAGACTGAATACAGTGATGACACCAAGCACAAAGACTGAATACAGTGATGACACCAAGCACAAAGACTGAATACAGTGATGACACCAACCACAAAGACTGAATACAGTAATGACACCAAGCACAAAGACTGAATACAGTGATGACACCAACCACAAAGACTGAATACAGTGATGACACCAAGCACAAAGACTGAATACAGTAATGACACCAACCACAAAGACTGAATACAGTGATGACACCAACCACAAAGACTGAATACAGTAATGACACCAAGCACAAAGACTGAATACAGTAATGACACCAAGCACAAAGACTGAATACAGTGATGACACCAACCACAAAGACTGAATACAGTAATGACACCAAGCACAAAGACTGAATACAGTGATGACACCAAGCACAAAGACTGAATACAGTAATGACACCAAGCACAAAGACTGAATACAGTGATGACACCAACCACAAAGACTGAATACAGTAATGACACCAACCACAAAGACTGAATACAGTGATGACACCAAGCACAAAGACTGAATACAGTGATGACACCAACCACAAGACTAAATACAGCAATGGCAGAATACAAAGGCCAAAACCGTCAGCAATTTCAAACCATTATACAGTATAACAAAGTGCTAGGAAGACAGGACAACACGAGCGTAGCTCTCATTAGTTCGTGTCGCTAACTACACTTAGGTAATTACACACACACGCAGGGGGCCTAGCAGCTGAGTGGACAGTGCTCTGGGGTCCTAAGGGCCCGGGTCCGATTCCCGGCCGTGTCGGAAACAAATGGGCAAAGTTTCTTTCAACGTGAAAGAAATTCGCACACACACACAAACTGTGTGCGCGCGCGATTCTGTAATTATCCATTATTCCGTAATAACAATAAGCATTATTATTCCGGAATAACAATAAGCATTATTATTCCGTAATAACAATAAGCATTATTATTCCGGAATAACAATAAGCATTATTATTCCGTAATAACAATAAGCATTATTATTCCGTAATAACAATAAGCATTATTATTCCGGAATAACAATAAGCATTATTATTCCGTAATAACAATAAGCATTATTATTCCGTAATAACAATAAGCATTATTATTCCATAATAACAATAAGCATTATTATTCCATAATAACAATAAGCATTATTATTCCATAATAACAATAAGCATTATTATTCCGTAATAACAATAAGCATTATTATTCCGTAATAACAATAAGCATTATTATTCCGTAATAACAATAAGCATTATTATTCCATAATAACAATAAGCATTATTATTCCATAATAACAATAAGCATTATTATTCCATAATAACAATAAGCATTATTATTCCATAATAACAATAAGCATTATTATTCCATAATAACAATAAGCATTATTATTCCATAATAACAATAAGCATTATTATTCCATAATAACAATAAGCATTATTATTCCATAATAATAATAAGCATTATTATTCCGTAATAACAATAAGCCTTATTATTCCGGAATAACAATAAGCATTATTATTCCTTAACAATAAGCATTATTATTCCGTAATAACAATAAGCATTATTATTCCTTAACAATAAGCATTATTATTCTATAATAACAATAAGCATTATTATTCCATAATAACAATAAGCATTATTATTCCATAATAACAATAAGCATTATTATTCCATAATAACAATAAGCATTATTATTCCATAATAGCAATAAGCATTATTATTCCGTAATAACAATAAGCATTATTATTCCATAATAACAATAAGCATTATTATTCCGGAATAACAATAAGCATTATTATTCCGGAATAACAATAAGCATTATTATTCCGGAATAACAATAAGCATTATTATTCCGGAATAACAATAAGCATTATTATTCCGGAATAACAATAAGCATTATTATTCCGGAATAATAAGCATTATTATTACAGAATAATAATGCTTATTATTACAGGTTTATGATTAATAATCATTATCCAGTAATAATAAGCATTATTATCCTGTAATAATAAGCATTATTATTCTGCAATAACAAGAATTATTATTCTGTAATAAGAATTATTTTTTCTGTAATAATAAGAATTATTTTTCTGTAATAAGAATTATTATTCTGTAATAATAAGCATTATTATTCTGTAATAATAAGAATTATTATTCTGTAATAAGAATTATTATTCTGTAATAATAAGCATTATTATTCTGTAATAATAAGAATTATTATTCTGTAATAAGAATTATTATTCTGTAATAAGCATTATTATTCTGTAATAAGAAGTATTATTATTCTGTAATAATAAGAATTATTATTCTGTAATAATAAGAATTATTATTGTAATAATAAGAATTATTATTCTGTAATAATAAGAATTATTATTCTACAATAAGAATTATTCTATAATAAGAATTATTATTCTAAATAAGAATTATTATTCTACAATAAGAATTATTATTCTACAATAAGAATTATTCTATAATAAGAATTATTCTATAATAAGAATTATTATTCTGTAGTAAGATTACTAAATTATATTCTGTAATAAGAATAAGAGGCAGGTTAACAAATAAGACTTTACATTATACCTCCAGAAGCAAATCAATTAAATAAGAAAAAACACTTCTACATTCTTCATAGTACAGAACTACATGTCAAATCAATATACTGTACTTAAATTCCATATTACGTTGCTTTAAATAAATCTTAACACTATTTTTTTTTCTTTCACCAACAGGTAATTTATTTGTTGAAAAACACCCAACAGGTAATTTATTTGTTGAAAAACACCCAACAGGTAATTTATTTGTTGAAAAACACCCAACAGGTAATTTATTTGTTGAAAATCACCCAACAGGTAATTTATTTGTTGAAAATCACCCAACAGGTTATTTATTTGTTGAAAAACACCCAACAGGTAATTTATTTGTAAAATCACCCAACAGGTAATTTATTTGTTGAAAATTTTTATTTGTTGAAAAACAGGTAATTTATTTTTTGAAAATCACCCAACAGGTAATTTATTTGTTGAAAAACACCCAACAGGTAATTTATTTGTTGAAAAACACCCAACAGGTAATTTATTTGTTGAAAAACACCCAACAGGTAATTTATTTGTTGAAAAACACCCAACAGGTAATTTATTTGTTGAAAAACACCCAACAGGTAATTTGTTGAAAAACACCCAACAGGTAATTTATTTGTTGAAAAACACCCAACAGGTAATGTATTTTTACACACCCCCTTTTAGTACAAATACACGCAATACATGATACACACATTTCAACATAACCACTGGATGGAACGACTGGGAACCACTGTACACCCAGTAAGTAACTGGAGACGTGGAAACCCCTTGTAGGTTTGGGTTCACGAGGAGACGTGTCGCTATATAACTCAACACATTCCAATCTCTGGTCAGAGATCTACAAAAAAAAAAAAAATCATAAAAAAAACTATGCTACAAAACCCGAGGAAAATGTACAATTGTGCCGAACCGAGATGAATCCGCTAGCTTGACGTACATCATTTTAATAAAAGCACATGAAAATTGCACATCGTTGACCACTTGGAATACAGCACAATGCCACATTAAATAATTGCTTACTATTAACGAAAATATTAAATGTTTAATGGAAACAATGGCTTTTTATAAAGTTTTTGTTAACGATCCTTGCAACTTATAAATTAGGTTCGACATCAAAAACAAACACAATGATCTAATCAAATAATAACTTACATTCTCCGGCTTTACCTGTTGCAATATTATCACTAAGCTGGCGTAAAACCATATCGTTTCCGAGAATTCTGAACATACCGTTACAAAGAAGGTGCAACACTGCTGACGTTATTTGATGTGTCAATACAAAGCTTGTTGGAGAATTCCGACAAACTGCTGAACGGAAATGACAATGTTATTTAATCGTGGTGGTCCGGGTAATTCCTTAGTTGGTGGTCCAGGTAATTCCTTAGTTATTAATACGATAAACAGACAACAGGAACTTCGAATTATAGACAAACGCATTTTTTATTTAACCGTCACAGCCCTAGATATAAAAATCAACTCTAAACCCGGTTAAAAGTAAACCTATGGTAGGCCGTATTAATTAAATTATGTACAGTGTTTCCACAAGTTTTCACAAATCACTACTACTCTTAACTAGAACAAACTCTTAATATAAATCAATACATGAAATAACATGACCAGCGTCAGTTGTAAATGTCGGACAAATCAACGGCAAACACGACTGAACGACTGACACTAGCCACAAAGAATAGCATATTCAACAACTTGCCTATAAATATTTACATAATCAGAGAGTTAACATTAGGAAATTTTATTACAAGTCAGATTTCCGGGGATCATCGTCCCCACGATCCGGTCTCTGACCAGATCTCCTGGTTGGGGGTCTAGTAAACCAGGCTGTTGGACGCAGCTGATCGCAGCCTGACGTATGAATCACAACCTAGCTGTTCAGGTATCTTTTGACTTATAATAACCAATATAATTTCCGAATGAAGCCAGGTTTATCCACATAGCCAAGAGCAGCAAAAAGACTAAGATTCAATAACTTAGTCTTGATATATGGGGGTGCATAAAAAAAAAGTTAATACATTAGTAATGTTGCCTACTCGCCAAATAGAACAATACAGCAAAAACAGGTTTTCACGTCGAATGGTGGAGCAAGCAATGAGGCAATCCCCCCACTCACAAGACGGGATGTGAAAGTATTGCCAGAGACGCGGTACACCTGATTTATACACTTCCACTACCGACAGCTGTCGCAGGTTCTCAGAACACACGACACACAGATTTAAACAACATGAATCATACACACCAGTACAATTCTGGCAAGAATGCATCTCGGCGGTTGCAGCGAAGCATTTGAACCCCCGTAAGCATCGAATCCCATGAATCACCAACCAGATTTAACGAGAAAAATGAGAGCAAACAGCTGACATACCTCTGGTCTCCTGGACAAGTCGACGCCATCATTCTCTATGTAGTCCGGGGTTTCCTTCTTACTACTGGTGAAGTTGAACACCAGCGTCGTTGCGTCGTGCTGGTTCCAACGGTCCCGGTGACTCGCCGTTTTGGTGGTGATTGGGGTACTCCCCGGACTGTTACCTCCTACGTTTGCGAGAGGTGGTTTGTTGGTAGTGTTGAAGGCCTCCACCAAGCTTCCCTTGTTGGGGCTCCTCACCAAGTCGACAGGGGACGGAGTGGGTTTGATGGGTTCACTTTTGACAGGAGTCACCACTTCTGGTTTTGATTCGACTTTCTTTGGGCTCGGCTTCTGAGGTTCCACTTTAGGAGGGGGTTTGTAAAGTTCCACCTTAGGGGCAGATTTGTTGGGTTCAACTTTGGTTTGTTTTGGGGATTCCACGTTTGTTGGGGAGGGTAATTTTGTTTGAGGGGGCTCTACTGGCGAAGTCTGTGGTCGGGACTCTGCGTTCTTAAGGTTCTTCCGGTGAACGAGCTCACTCTCTTGTGCCCTCTCACCTTTACTACTGAAGGGCGTGTGGGCGGGCACTCTGTGGGAAGCCACGGGGGAGGCTGGCAGGGGCGTGGGCGTTGGGGAAGACAGTTTTGGTGCCGCTAACTGGGCACTAGGGGTGTTGGCAGGTCTATTTGTAAAATTAAATTCCTGAGATTGACTCTCTTTTCTAATATTGGAGACGGCAATGTTGGATACCCTCCTCACCCCTTCCTCTACCTCAAACGCACTGAGACTTTCGCCTTGTGCCTGCCTGGGTCCAGGGTCACCATTCACCATGGGTGCTGTTACAGACGCACTCACGGGGGTCAACCCAGGCCGCGCCCTTACTGTACTTAATATTTCCTGACCAGAATGTGTAGAAGCGGTTGCATCGCCGTTTAGGGCTGTTGCACGCACACTAAGGGTGGCCCTTGGTGACGGCCGCGTCACCTGAGCCACTTTCTTAAGGGACGACTTGGCTTCCTCAATAGTGATGGAGTGTGTGGAGGATGGAGGAGACGCTATACGCGCAGGCATTACTATAGGCTTCACTTTAAGGGCAGGTTTGGACACTATTGCAACACCATTGGCCTTTGATGACTGAGCTGCTTTGTGCGCGGCAACACGAGCAGCTGTGCCCCGCAGGGGTCTGTTACCCGGTGCTTCGAATAACCTCTTAACCTGGCGAACTGTGTCAGGGGCTGGCATGTCCTCCTCCTCCACTAGGCTGGAGGACGACAGCCTGCGGGTGAGTGGGGGCGGCTCACCAGCGTCCACTGTCTGGCCAGCACCATTTACAGCCTTCTGCTCCATGGCCGCAGGTTTGCTGGTCTCTATGATGATGACGTCATCCTTGCCCAGTGCACACAGACTAGATTGGAGGCGACTTGTAGCCGACCGGCTCTTCGGAAGGCCCGGGGTTCTGATTCTAGCAGAATCTTCGGTTAACCTACAGCTCAGAGAGTCCACAGATCGCGCCCTTCGCATCACCTCACGGCGGTGACTGACGGCAGTGACAGGGGCGGCGCGGGGCTTGGCATCACTGATACCCCTTTCCTGCCACGTTTCCCGGGGCTCAGTGTCCAACAAGTCCTCCAGGGAGCTGAACCTCCTTAGCGACGGCCGGGACCTACTCTCCCTCATGGCTAGGCTCATGTACCGGTTTTTTAATTTGGACACGATGCCCGGTCCATACCGAAGTTCCTCATCTTCTTGAGCGTAGGAGTCACTGACGGTGGAGTACGTAGGTGAGGTGACCCTCGGCCCCTCGTCATATAAACCCTTATGATGCATGCTGCTTACGCTAACACTCGCTATTTCACCGGTTATAACATATTTATGGTTTTGACTTCCATCGTCACCGCCACTGACAGTCGCACAACCACCATCCAAACGTGAACTGACCGCCGAGTTGTTCGCATGAGACGGCGGGTGGGGGTGGGAGGGTAGAGGGCCACTCAGCGAGCGTGCGCCCGCCGGGTGGTGGGGGCCACTGAGCGAGCATGACGCCGCCGGGTGGTGTGGGCCACTGAGCGAGGATAGCGGCACAGACTGGCCAGGGCCACTGAGCGAGCATGGCGACACAGGCTGGCCAGGGCCACTGAGCGAGGATGACGGTGCAGGCTGCCCTGGGCCACTCATCAAGCCTCGTCCACGACCCGCCATCGGTGGTGCAGGAGCCGCCAGTCCAAATCCCCCGTGAATTCTGGCGTTTGCCCTCTTGCGTAGAATTAATTCTCGCTTCCAAGACGGGAGCTCGTCTAATGGGGCTTCCTGCCCGCTGATATAACCCTGCATCGTGGTCATGATGATACTGTCAGCTCCTTATCGGTCAAAACATCCGTCAAGTTGGAGATACCACACTTCCTGAGATAAAAGTCTTCTACCACACACACGTCGCCACTCCACCAGTCCCGTTTCCGACACGAGACTAGACCTGGACACTATGTACACACACACACACTCACACAACTCGTACCAAGACGTCAGTAATAGAGAGAATATGAAATAATTCCAGGTCCGGGAGGTGGCAGAGAGGCGTCCGCCGCCACCGCTCTATCTCCACTGTTGTTGATAAGCCAGTAACAGGGAGGCGTGCGCGCTCCCATATCTCCATTTTCCCTTCTTAATTGCTCTCCTGGTGGCGAATGGCCACCGCTGGTTATATCACATTGACATAATCCAAAATCCCTCTGTTCAATATTTCCCCTTTGCTAATGAGGGGAAGAGCAGGATGGTATGTCTACATTTTAAGATTTATTGATTGTGCGTGTGGCGGTTGTTGGAGTCTGGCGGCGGCGGCGGCGGCCGACGACGCCTGGCGGCGGCGGTGGCAACCTTTCCTGCCACTCACACCTAACACCTCTAACTGTACACATCTGCCATGCTCCCTCTGCACACCTGACACCTCTCCCTTGCTCACAATGCACTCCTCATGCTTCCTCGACACATCTGTTACCTCTAACGTGTTCATTCTGTACTCTTGAGACCTCTTTAACTGTTGGTATCTCTCATATTTCCTGTATACAACTCCCATCCTCTACCATTTTCTCTCTGCACACCTGATGTTTCTCTCACGCTCCATCTATACACCTGACACCCTTGATTGTACCTCATTGATTGTAACTCATACATCCGATGCACATTTGACATCTCTCATACACCACACTTGAAGTCTTTTAAATGTACATATCTCCCTGACTCTTTTTCTTATGCTCTATATATATACCTGTCCCCTCTCACATACTCTCCCATACATGTCTCCCGTGATTCATTTACACACACTTGACATCTATCCCCCTGTTTACAAACTGGAAGGCTTTTCACACACCTGACACCATAACTGTACAAGTCTCAAATATTTCTTCTCCACACTTGACACCTATAGAGGGCTCGTCACGTCCAACCACTTGGGCTGGACGGCAGAGCGACGGTTTCGGGTCATGCAGGTCGGGGTTCAATCTCCGACCATCCAAGTGGTTGGGCACCATTCCTTAAATTCACGTCCCATCCCAAATCCTTATCCTGACCCTTTCCAAGTGCTATATAGTCGTACTGGCTTAGTGCTTTATCCTGATAACTACCTATCCCGGAGATGGAATTTGAGAATATCTTTAAGAGTAAGGTGCTCATATACAGAGCTCACTAGGTTCTAATGTGCTCTATCTGAGGCTGCTATTGAGATTGGAGCAAATTAAGAATCCAAATCATATGGGATTTTACCCCCCCCCCCAAAAAAAAAGGAGGGTTGAGTTGGAAATGTATGATTGTCCAGGGCTATTGTTGTTGGCAAATGCCGACTAGACAAATATTTCAAGGCTAAGGCAATATCATTCATTAGCAACTAGGAACACTTCTATGGATATAATTGTATGCAGGCAAAGGTTGGGGGTGAACTTATAAAGGGGAGGGATTGTAGTGTCAGAGTTTTAACTGCTGGAAGGTAGAGGCATGAGAATACATTTTGGGAGAGGAGGTACTGAGATATATGTGATGGCAGGGAAAAAGTTGTAGCTAGACACCATGCTGGGGAAAATGGATGAAACCCAAAAGTAACATTTTAGGCTTTTAGACATAAATCTGGAGACGATAGCGATAACACACAGGAACGTAAATATATATATATATATATGCGAACAAGCCTGAATGGTCCCCAGGACTATATGCGAATGAAAACTCACACCCCAGAAGTGACTCGAACCCATACTCCCAGGAGCAACGCAACTGGTAACTACAGGGCGCCTTAATCCACTTGACCATCACGGCCGTCAAAAGGAAGTGATAGCCGAGGCTATTTGAGCCACTTCCCCGACGGCAACTCGGATGGTAATCTTGGGCATAGCATTTCACCAAATCACCTCATTCTTTGGGGCACATGTGAGGAACACAAATGCGAACAAGCCTGAATGGTCCCCAGGACTATATGCGAATGAAAACTCACACCCCAGAAGTGACTCGAACCCATACTCCCAGGAGCAACGCAACTGGTAACTACAGGGCGCCTTAATCCACTTGACCATCACGGCCGTCAAAAGGAAGTGATAGCCGAGGCTATTTGAGCCACTTCCCCGACGGCAACTCGGATGGTAATCTTGGGCATAGCATTTCACCAAATCACCTCATTCTTTGGGGCACATGTGAGGAACACAAATGCGAACAAGCCTGAATGGTCCCCAGGACTATATGCGAATGAAAACTCACACCCCAGAAGTGACTCGAACCCATACTCCCAGGAGCAACACAACTGGTAACTACAGGGCGCCTTAATCCACTTGACCATCACGGCCGTCAAAAGGAAGTGATAGCTGAGGCTATTTGAGCCACTTCCCCGACGGCAACTCGGATGGTAATCTTGGGCATAGCATTTCACCAAATCACCTCATTCTTTGGGGCACATGTGAGGAACACAAATGCGAACAAGCCTGAATGGTCCCCAGGACTATATGCGAATGAAAACTCACACCCCAGAAGTGACTCAAACCCATACTCCCAGGAGCAACGCAACTGGTAACTACAGGGCACCTTAATCCACTTGACCATCACGGCCGTCAAAAGGAAGTGATAGCCGAGGCTATTTGAGCCACTGGGAGTATGGGTTCGAGTCACTTCTGGGGTGTGAGTTTTCATTCGCATATAGTCCTGGGGACCATTCAGGCTTGTTCGCATTTGTGTTCCTCACATGTGCCCCAAAGAATGAGGTGATTTGGTGAAATGCTATGCCCAAGATTACCATCCGAGTTGCCGTCGGGGAAGTGGCTCAAATAGCCTCGGCTATCACTTCCTTTTGACGGCCGTGATGGTCAAGTGGATTAAGGCGCCCTGTAGTTACCAGTTGCGTTGCTCCTGGGAGTATGGGTTCGAGTCACTTCTGGGGTGTGAGTTTTCATTCGCATATAGTCCTGGGGACCATTCAGGCTTGTTCGCATTTGTGTTCCTCACATGTGCCCCAAAGAATGAGGTGATTTGGTGAAATGCTATGCCCAAGATTACCATCCGAGTTGCCGTCGGGGAAGTGGCTCAAATAGCCTCGGCTATCACTTCCTTTTGACGGCCGTGATGGTCAAGTGGATTAAGGCGCCCTGTAGTTACCAGTTGCGTTGCTCCTGGGAGTATGGGTTCGAGTCACTTCTGGGGTGTGAGTTTTCATTTGCATATAGTCCTGGGGACCATTCAGGCTTGTTCGCATTTGTGTTCCTCACATGTGCCCCAAAGAATGAGGTGATTTGGTGAAATGCTATGCCCAAGATTACCATCCGAGTTGCCGTCGGGGAAGTGGCTCAAATAGCCTCGGCTATCACTTCCTTTTGACGGCCGTGATGGTCAAGTGGATTAAGGCGCCCTGTAGTTACCAGTTGCGTTGCTCCTGGGAGTATGGGTTCGAGTCACTTCTGGGGTGTGAGTTTTCATTCATATATATATATATTATTAAATATGACCGAAAAAGTAAGATTAATAATTCTAACACGAATTTTCTCAATCTTTCGTACATTACGCTTCACTGTTGGAGGTAAATCAAAAATTAATTCTCCAAAATTCATTTTTATTTCTAGTCTGACGCGACATGGGCGCGTTTCGTAAAACTTATTACATTTTCAAAGACTTTAGTTCACAAATACACAACTGAATAGAACTTACGTATCTCCGATTTTATATCTACATTTGAGTGAGGTGGGAGGGGTGATGTGGCATTAACACAAGACAGAACAAGAGGGGATATTAATAGGGTATTAAAAGTATCAACACAAGACAGAACACAAACAATGGGTATTGAATAGAAGTGTTTGTAGAAAGCTTTCTACAAACTTTCAAGAAAGCTTTGTGCTTTCTACAAACACTTCTATTCAATACCCATTGTTTGTGTTCTGTCTTGTGTTGATACTTTTAATACCCTATTAATATCCCCTCTTGTTCTGTCTTGTGTTAATGCCACATCACCCCTCCCACCTCACTCAAATGTAGATATAAAATCGGAGATACGTAAGTTCTATTCAGCTGTGTATTTGTGAACTAAAGTCTTTGAAAATGTAATAAGTTTTACGAAACGCGCCCGTGTCGCGTCAGACTAGAAATAAAAATGAATTTTGGAGAATTAATTTTTGATTTACCTCCAACAGTGAAGCGTAATGTGCGAAAGATTGAGAAAATTCGTGTTAGAATTATTAATCTTACTTTTTCGGTCATATTTAATAATATATGTCTACAGGAAAGACTGCTACCAAAATATACTAATATATATATATATATATATATATATATATATATATATATATATATATATATATATATATATATATATATATATATATATATATATATATATAATGTTTACGTTTACGTTCCATATATATATATATGGGAGTGTTAGTGGGAATGTTAGGAATAAAATTGATGCATTAAGAGCACTTGATTTGTTGGAGGGAAAATTCGTGCTTGTCTCAAATGTGAGCAGTGTTGTTCACGCGTCAGGATGCGACCCACAACTCTCAACTAATACCCAAAAGTACCTATTTCCTGCTGGGTGAACAGAAGCAGCGGGTGTTAGGAGACTTGCCCAGCTGCCTCGCACAATCCATAAATAATATACCTGTATATTATTGTGAAAGAAGATACATGGCTGACTGTAGATAACAGGGTTCTATTGACTAAATAACATTTGTTGGATATAAATTGTTTCACGTTGATATCAATTAGACAAAGGGGAAGAATAGCACTGAAATTCATTTAAAATAACGATTCTCTAACTAGAAGGCCTGGCAGAGACCGGGCCGTTGTGAAGGTGGTCTGCGAACCAACTCAAGGAGACAGAATATGAAAATACTGTGCAAGAGATAATTGAGTACCAGCTTTTCCTGAATGCTGTTATGAGAGCTACGGTCATTCGTGAGGTAGTTTAGTTATTATGCACCCTATACCCATCCTGTGGGTAGTAGTGGACTCCATACCCATCCTGTGGGTGGTAGTGGACCCCACTCCCATCCTGTGGGTAGTAGTGGACCCCATACTCATCCTGTGGGTGGTAGTGGACCCCATTCCCATCCTGTGGGTGGTAGTGGACCCCATACCCATCCTGTGGGTAGTAGTGGACCCCATACCCATCCTGTGGGTAGTAGTGGACCCCATACCCATCCTGTGGGTGGAAGTGGACCCCATACCCATCCAGTGTGGGGTAGTGGACCCCATACCCATTCTGTGGGCGGTAGTGGACCCCATACTCATACTGTGGGTAGTAGTGGACCCCATACCCATCCTGTGGGTGGTAGTGGACCCCATACCCATCCAGTGTGGGGTAGTGGACCCCATACCCATTCTGTGGGCGGTAGTGGACCCCATACTCATACTGTGGGTGGTGGTGGACCCCATTCCCATCCTGTGGGTGGTAGTGGACCCCATACCCATCCTGTGGGTGGTAGTGGACCCCACTCCCATCCTGTGGGTAGTAGTAGACCCCATACCCATCCTGTGGGTGGTAGTTGAAAGTTGATGACCCAGACTGCTTCTTTATGAATGACATTCAAGCTGCAGATAATATAACGGATATTACCACAAACTCGGAAGACTTTGAAAGAGAAATTGATAATATGCCTATGCACTCAGCTCCTGGGCCTGACTCATGGAATTCAATATTCATAAAGAAATGTAAAGTACCAGTAGCGAGAGCACTCAGCGTAATATGGAGAAAGAGCCTGGATACAGGTGAGATACCAGCAGCACTTAAATCTGCAGATATAGCTCCGTTGCACAAGGGGGGAGTAAAGCCTTGGCAAAAAATTATAGGCCAGTTGCACTAACATCACACATAATAAAAGTGTTTGAAAGAGTGATTAGGAATCAAATTTCTAGTTTTATGGAAAACAATGAATTGCACAATCCAGGACAACATGGATTTAGAGCGGGAAGATCCTGTCTGTCACAGTTACTCAACCACTATGACAAAATCACAGAAGCCCTAGAAGAAAAGCAAAATGCAGATGTTGTATACACAGACTTTGCAAAGGCGTTCGACAAATGTGACCATGGGGTGATAGCTCACAAAATGAGGTCAATGGGAATAACTGGAAAAGTAGGACGCTGGATACTCAATTTCCTGTCGAACAGAACACAAAGAGTAACAGTCAATCAGATAAAATCGAGTCCAAGCGATGTTAAAAGCTCTGTACCTCAAGGTACAGTCCTTGCACCGCTACTGTTCCTTATTCTCATATCTGATATAGACAAAAATACACGCCACAGCTTCGTGTCGTCCTTTGCAGATGACACAAAAATCAGCATGAAAATTACCTCTGCTGAAGACATTGAAAAACTACAAGCAGATGTCAACAAAGTTTTTGATTGGGCAGCAGAAAATAACATGATGTTTAACAGTGATAAATTTCAGGTACTCAGGTACGGCAAAAATGAGGATCTGAAACATAATACAGGGTACAAAACACAATCGAATCTTCCCATAGTAGAAAAACAGCATGTCAAGGATTTGGGAATAATGATGTCCGACGATCTAACGTTTAGGGAGCATAACCAAGCAAATATCGCGTCAGCCAGAAAAATGATCGGATGGATTACGAGAACTTTCAAATCCAGGGATCCCATCACAATGGTTGTACTCTTCAAGTCACTTGTGCTGTCCCGTCTCGAGTACTGCTCAGTACTCACTTCCCCCTTCAGAGCAGGAGAGATTGCTGAAATAGAGGGAATACAGAGAACATATACGGCACGCATAGACGAGATAAAACACCTAAATTATTGGGATCGTCTCAAAGCTCTCCAAATGTACTCTCTAGAAAGGAGACGAGAGAGATACCAAATAATATACACATGGAAAATACTGGAGGGTCAGGTCCCAAATCTACACAGTAAAATAACAACGTACTTGAGTGAACGATATGGAAGAAAATGCAAGATTGAACCAGTGAAGAGCAGAGGTGCCATAGGCACAATCAGAGAGCACTGTATAAACATCAGGGGTCCGCGGTTGTTCAACGTCCTCCCAGCGAGCATAAGAAATATTGCCGGAACAACCGTGGACATCTTCAAGAGAAAACTGGACGGTTTTCTAAGAGAAGTTCCGGATCAGCCGGGCTGTGGTGGGTACGTGGCCCTGCGGGCCGCTCCAAGCAACAGCCGGGTGGACCAAACTCTCACAAGTCGAGCCTGGCCTCGGGCCGGGCTTGGGGAGTAGAACTCCCAGAACCCCATCAACCAGACTCAACCAGACCCTAGTGGACCCCATACCCATCCAGTGTGGGGTAGTGGACCCCATACCCATCCTGTGGGCGGTAGTGGACCCCATACCCATCCTGTGAACAGTAGTGGACCCCACCACCACTGTGGGTGGTGGTGGACCCCATACCCATCCTGTGGGTGGTAGTGGAAAAGAGATACAGAGGCTCAAATAATGGACTCAGGAACTGAACCCCCAAAATTAATTTAACTAAGCAAGTTACAGTCTTGATAAGCTGGTTACACAATTCAATGTATATCAAGAATGAGTTGGAGAGCGACCACAAATGCAGTCTCTAAGCTAAGCAGCTTATATTTGCATAATTGTATTTGCTTATCGTGCACAACCCCCCCCCCCCCATCACCACCATACCATCCAGTAGGAGGTGGACAGCTCACAATCCCCCATATTTATTACCTAGAACTGCGCTACACAACCTTACTATATATACGGTGAGAGGGGAGGCACAGTTAACACAGCCCAAGATTAGCTTAGAGTGGTATACAATGTCCTAGCTCAGATCAACGACTGTGAACTAGAAGCACAAGTGGTGCATCAAGACAGTGGGGGAAGTGTCGTGTCCGGAGTGCAGAGGCCATACACATGCTCAGCCAGTGTGAAGGGCCATACATGTGCACGGATAGAGTACGTTGTGGGGAAGGCAGTGTGGCTGAATGGTGTGGCCAAGTGTTGTGGCCACATTGAAGAGTTATTGAAATGGTTGGGACCAATACTGTAGTTGGAAAAGCATACGTCAGTTTCGGTATATAAAAAAACGCGCGTCTAGCATTGTTTAACTCGACCTCCACACTATTTCCTCACACTTTATGCTGACATGCTGTTAGAATATTGTACTCACCTAGTTGTGTTTGCGGGGGTTGAGCTCTGGCTCAACCTCGCCAGAGCCGTTTTCCATCGCCGGTTACGGTGGTAGGAGGAAGGACATGAGGACACACACACTACTCTTAAGAGTACGCAGTTTGTTACCAGTAACAGAAGACCAACAATTCTGCCAACGGGTAAGGATGGAGAATGAATAACTGGGCAAGTCGGAATAAGGAATACCTTTACGGGAGATGGGACAAAAAGCGGACAGCTTTCCCAGCGGCAGCGTCCCCAAGCTCATTTAAAAAGACACCAATATGGCAAAATTTTAGTAACTACTTGTGGTTAATACAAAAATGTTATATAAAAATACAAAGGATGTATGAAAATTGTTGTTTATTTCCAACAACTCCCTCATGCAATGCATTCCCAAATGATCTGATGTTCCCATCAGAAAATTAGGAACACCAAATGATTCAACCCGTCCTCGACTCAAGTCCATTACATCCACCGGTCGACCCCACAGACGCATTCATAAATTTTAATATGCTGTTCATTCAAAACGGGAATTTTCTCAAGTATAAATTAATATTATAATATATTAGCATATTGTGCATATATAGGCATAGGTTAGGTTAGGTTAGGTGTTTAGGTTCTGTTGGCGATTATTTGTATTTGTAGTACGTGGGTGAAGCATTTATAGCGTTGTGATTCGAACAAAATTCGTCAGTGAAGCACTTGTTCCGGATATGTTCGAACGTCAGCAGTTGTGAGTCGTGTGTAAACCGCTTTTCATTCATAAACAGGGGGTTTGGCGGGTGCATGGAATCACTTTTGGATCTTTGTTTGGAGGATGGGCTGAATGATTAATGTTCTTTTTCATTCATAAGCAGGGGGTTTGGCGAGGGTATGGAATCACTTTTGGGTCTTTGTTTGGAGAACGGGTTGACACACGACTCACAACTGCTGACGTTCGAACATATCCGGAACAAGTGCTTCACTGACGAATTTTGTTCAAATCACAACGCTATAAATGCTTCACCCACGTACTACAAATACAAATAATCGCCAACAGAACCTAAACACCTAACCTAACCTATGCCTATATATGCACAATATGCTAATATATTATAATATTAATTTATACCTGAGAAAATTCCCGTTTTGAATGAACAACATATTAAAATTTATGAATGCGTCTGTGGGGTCGACCGCTGGATGTAATGGACTTGAGTCGAGGACGGGTTGAAATGCTTCACCCACGTACTACAAATATAAATAATCGCCAGCAGAACCTAAACACCTAACCTATGCCTATAATAATAATAATAATAATAATAATAATAATAATTTATTTAGGAACAGTACATACATAGTTGCAGCGTTACAGAACAAACATTCTGTTAGATTTAAAGATAGAGGTAGTACATACAATATATACACAATATGCTAATATCTTATAATATTAATTTATATATGAAAAAAATCCGGTTTTGAATGAACAGCATGTAAAAACTTATGAATGCGTCTGTGGGGTCGACCGCTGGATGTAATGGACTTGAGTCGAGGATGAGTTGCATATTCGTGTCTGCTCAGCTCCTCATGCTTCATGCTTTTCATATTCGTGGCTGCTCAGCTTCTCATGCTTCATGATTCTCATATTCGAGGTTGCTCAGCTCCCCATGCTTCATGATTCTCATATTCGTGGCTGCTCAGCTCCCGATATTTCAAGATTCTCATATACATGTCTGTTCAGCCTCCCATAAAAACAGTTTTCTGTGAGCGCCGCGACATGGAGGTGTCGCCTAGTAAACGCCCAGACCCGCTTGTTTACACTCCTACTGCAAGGTAATCTGGGGTGTCTCCCTTTATTATAATGGTAAAATTAAGGATTTTAAGTTTTTACCGCCGGAGAGCTAATTTATTGAGTAGTGGGTCTTCCTCTCGTGATTGATGACATACCGCCATGGTATAGGGGTAATGAAGCGTTACAATAGCCTGCCAAGTAGGTGAGGATTCATCAGTGCTTCGTTAGAGATGGACTGATAAAGGTGAGAAAAACCGCAGAGGGCAAAATGTTCACAATTACTAAAGAAGAGAACCTCAACGCTTTCCTCTCCCAATGTGGTCTGTCTCAGCTCATTATCACTCCCAGTGAATTAACTTAATTAACCCCCTGTCAACTAGTGGGGCTAGGTTTTCTAAGTCTCATTGTTTCATTTTCTGACTTAATTTTTAACTTACTCTTAACTAGTCATTTACTGAAATTATTTAATTGAGTGCATAAATAGTTCTTCAGGTCTTATTAAGGACCTGCCCGAAACGCTGCACGTGCTAGTGGCTTTACAAGACTGTAATTACCATATTTGTATCCTCACATTCCTTATGTACATTCTTGTATATGCATAAATAAATAAATAAATAAATATTGACTGTCACTGTTCATCAGCATGACATTACAAGACAGGTTTGTTTTGTTTTGTTGTGGACTTTGACCATAGTGATGTTTCTTTAAGGAAGTCAGGTACTCCCTTCTTCAGGCTTCATTCCACTTGTGGAGGATTCTGGCTAAATGAAAGAATTTTGTGAAAATTTAATCTTCACTGCATTTTTAATTTGGTCACTTGTGAAGCAGCAAATTGGAAATGAGTGCTCCGGGTTTGTGCACTGATCACAAGAACCAGTGCATTGCACTTACTGAGCATATTAGCTCATCAACCACAATTTTTACTGCAACCACCATCACTGTCATAACTAGCATTATTACAACCACCATCACTACTATTACTGTCACCACCACTGACACCCTCCTCCTCCTTACAGCAACCCCATGCTCATTATTCTAGTCTAAACTGAAATTCCCTGTAATATACCTATTATATTTCTTGTACCTTTGATAGTGCCCTGTTATCACTGCACCCAATTACTCCACTCCCTGTAACCCGAGATGTGTTTGTCTGGGAATACGTTGCTTGATCAGCTACAATCAAAGTGTATCTAGTTAATCAGATTATATTGTATTTGCATAAATGAACTAGAAAGTTTAAATTATAAAATTAATTTTTTTAGGCGTGAGTATACAGAAGGCTATTGGAGATGGGAAGCCCTTGACTGGTTTGCTGAGGTGCCCCTCAATCAAGGGGAAGATATAGTTTTCTGAGGTTAGCAGGGTTGGATAAGATTTTTGATAAGAATGTACTAAACAATGGTATAAATTGGGGCTGAAAGCACTTGTTAAGTGAGGTGTTTATAAACTAAATTATAAATTTAATTTACTTTGGGTAAAATAATTGCATTACTTGTATTCAGTACTGGATAGAATTACATCTATTTGAAAGTTTCTCTCGAATCAATAAATACCATATACTATAGTAGCTTTGTTAAGCATTATATATATATTGGACAAGTTTTATGTGAAAACTGGTCACTATTTTATTTATTGACCACTTGGGTTTACTTTTCAGTGACTTGATGAGCACCAGTCATCATGTGAGAGTGTTCCTTTGTGAACTGCAAGTCGATCCTCAGGGCAAGTTCTTTGCTGGAGACAAAGAGGTTTCCAGAGTTGATGTTATTGGCACAGTAGTCTATTTCAGTCACCGTGAACGTGTTGAAACGTTTGAAAGTAAGTTTGACAAATACTGTAGTTTCTCTCTCTGTCTCTCTCTCTCTCTCTCACCAACAATTATAAATATGTTCCTCTGGAAATGCTTAGAACAAGATGGGGAGGGAGGGAGTTATGATTCACCTTTTTGAAATGTACCAACTGCATTCTCTGGTTCTGCTCTCAGGTGATCAGTAGTTGCTAGCTTTCCTCTTCATCTGGCCCTCGTTTTATCTTTGTATATTCGAGTCTTGACGGTTGATCTTCCTATCCTTGTCTTCGAGGAATTGACTGCTCACACTACAATAGCTTTTCTTCAGTGTCACTGAAAGTTCCCGCTATGCTGCCAGCTGTGTCACAGCATTTCACTACATACTCGCCCGAGTCACAAAGGTAAGGCGAGTATATTAACTCCACGGTACTCTTCACATGCCCTGGGCGATCGCTCCTCTCGTCTGTAGTTTGCTTGTAGCTTTGGGCCCTCCATGAAGTTACAGGGTTTCCCAGACACACCTGGGCCTCCCATGCTGGTCACTAAATTCTTCAGGATGCCAAGATTGCTCTCTTCACATGACGTTTCCATGCTTGAAAACTTCTCTGACAATGTATCCCTCTGCTTAAGAGGCTAGGACACAGAAGTCCTCGAGCATGGAAACATGGTGTGGAGAGAGAGAGAGAGAGAGAATACAGTATAGAGTGGAAGACCCAAAATCTCTAGACACTCATAGAAAATGGAAAATGGCTGCAATTGGACAATACTGTATATGAAGAAACCCCAAAAGCATGCTTGACATGGATCCTTTGTGTATCCTATGTGGATCCTATGATCCTATGTGTAAACAACTCGTGACCAGGTAATCAACATAGTCTGCAGGCATAACCAATGAAGAACCACACCCCTGTTTGAGTGGTACACGAGCCAAACACAACTGATAAAATGCCTTTTCTTGAGAATAGGCTGAGGAAAAATACCATAATGAATGAAAAGCTTCATAAACAGTTTTGAAAAATGTGAACCATCCATGTGAGGGTCTGGCAGCTGCACATCAGGGAGAGACCAGGAGTTGGGAGTAACCTCTACTCAGAACAGAGGGAAGAAGGTGAAGCATGTGTCCCAGTTCTAAAGCACATGGAAAGTATGCAAAACAAATGCTTCATGAGCAGAGAATGTAGTAACAAGGACTGGGAACTGAGCTTTTTTCAGGGACTGGCTTTTATTTGATTTTCTAACACTTGTAATCTGTTGGCTAGAGATTTGAATATCCTCCCTACTTGTGTAGTTATTAATTTAGCCCTTGTTTTATAGTCATTTACTTTGTTAACCTGCACTTGTGTAGTTTATTTTCCATACAGCTGGATATTTTATTTTACTTGAAAGTAGAGGAGGAAAATATGTTAACAAATTGGCTTAATGCCAATGTGTAATAAAGTTAATAACTACAGTAATTATCAAAATAAAACACCAAAGCTGGGAGACTATATAGCACTGTCTGTTTTATGGGATATTCAAAAGGTTTAAAATATCACTCTGGAAACCAATATGTGAACAAAAGGACAAAAGACTAGTACTGTATTGCCAAAGGTATCGGATTCACCGAGGATCTTATCGAGAGACAAATGACTCAAAGGGACATTTGAAAAAACGAGATGTATGATGCATAACATTAGTGCAGCTGGTTTTTATTATTGTAGCGCTGCTTTGCTGCCTCTTTTTTGTGGAGTGTCAAAATCTGCAGTGTTTAGTCCTCTTTTTAATGATAAGGTTGTTACCTAAAGCCAATGTCTTAAATTTTACAGATAAATAATCTTTATTTTGCTATTGATGGTTTTTAAAGTATTTCAAATTTAAGTTTTCATATTCTGCATCAATCATTTTAAGTGTTGATTTGAGTGTAGTCTTGCGGTACCTTGCCTTGTGTTGGTTCCAAGGCTTAATGCCCCGGCAGCCTGGTCTCTGAGCAGGCCTACTGGTAGCTTCCATCCATATGGTATCTGGTAAAATTTGCAGTCAAGCTGAGCAGTACTTGTCACTTTCTGAATGTGTATCTTGCATTCTCACGGAAAGACTATACAGATATCTAGCATACTTTAATTCAGTTTATACAGGCTGCATGTGCATTTTTTATTTTAATTTAAAATGGATATTGAACCCTAAACAATTTCACTAATTTATTCAGTATTAGGAAATAGTCTTTCAACACTAACATTATATCTTTGCAGTTGATGACGGGACAGGTATAATACAGTGTGCCAAGTTCACTGATGTTGAGGTAGGGCAGCAAGATGGGAAAAGTGTTGCGAGTCATGCTGACGATCCCTTGAAAGATTTACATCACATCCTGATAAAACCAGATTTCCCTTTAAAACTGGGAGATTTAGTCAATATACGAGGGCATCTTAACGTCTTCCGAGAACGACCACAACTTATTGTGAATAGCTTACGTATCCTTTGATAGATGTATAATTTATCATTCTCTTGTATCTTGTTGAATGTATTGTACTTTAAACAACGTTGTTATGATTGAACTATGTAAATATTGTATGAATGTTTTATATGCGTGTGTTAATTTAAATGTACATCAGCAATATCATGTATTTAATATAATCGAATTAAGTAAGAGGTTTAAGACGTCTACAGTAGATTGCTGTATAAAATATATTTCTTTACTTTTGTCTTTTTGTCTCAACGACTCTTTGAGTGGTTGTTCACTAAACAATGTCAGAGTGCTTCATCTTCTGCTTTTTTAGCTTTAAAGCTCACATTCATCAACATGTAACACTAAAGTTATGCTTTGGAACTCTGAGTGAGTCAAGACCAAAGGTTGCTCAATGCAGCTACATTATGCACAGGCAGTTGTAATGCAGCTTTAATAGTTGGAAGTGAAAGTGTGTGTCTGTCTGTCTGGTTTGGGGCAGCCCTGAGGTACCAGTTAAGTAAGCTCCAAGGAACTACCAAAGTGCTGCCCAGAGAAAAAAAAGAGCATTTGATTACACACTACACTGTACAGGCACCTTCAAAATCTGGATTATATAATTTTGGATTTTATCCAGATTTGAGTAAAATCCTAATTTTAGGAAACTTGCCCTTTTTGGGCTATTTACCACCAAAGTTAAATTTGTCATGTAAAACTCAATGCATATGAATATAGAATTCTGTTCTAAATATGCATGATGGCATTCCCATGGCTAACATGTTTCTACATGTTCTTTGTGTAGTGGTGTAGTGGTCAAGACGCTCGTCTGGCGCTGTGCGAGTGGTTTGTCCTGGGTTCGTATCCTGGCTGGAGAGGATTTACTGGGTGCAAATCCTTAACTGTAGCCTCTGTTTAACTCAACAGTAAAATGGGCACTTGGTTGTTAAACGATTTTTCTCAGGGTCGTATTCCAGGGAAGATTGGATTAAGGACTTGCCCAAAACACTACGTGTACTAGTGGCTGTACAAGAATGTAAGAACTCTTGTGAATGTATATATAAATAAAAATATAAATAATGCATGAATGGATCTTCATTCATATACTGTGCATAATCATGTTTAGTCTATTTTTATTTAAATTTGGAATTTTGCCACAAATTGCAATATCCTCTTACGTCTTTTTATGTTTTAACCATTGGTTACTATTCCTTAACATTCATATTAGGTCGTGTTGCTGATATAAACGAAGAGTGGTTTAGAGTCCTGGAAATTGATGCTGAGCGGGAAGCAATTAGAGATAAGTCTCCAGCAGAGACAATATTTCAGGAGTTAAGCCAGTGCTCTTTACCTTAGAATTTGTTACTGCTCAATATTCAGTCAAGTAGTATATACAGAAAAGTTTACATTTTATATCATCATGGAGTGTGAAAATACAATCAGTTTGGAAAACATCCGCCAGAAGGCACGTGAAAGCGACCAAGCATTTCGATTAAAGAAGAGAAGCATAGCTCGTGATGATCGTCGTTTGCACTTGGATGATGTGGTAGCAAAGTTAAAGGTACTTCATCTTCCATAACAAGTATATTTATACTACTTAAGCTTACCTCTTGTCTGCATTTTCATCACATGAGTATATTTTGTACAAGTAAAATAATAAATTATATTTAATTCAGGTGTTTATCTTCTGATTTACCTCCATTTGTGTTTTTCAGGTGCCTTCAACAGAGGAATTTTCAAAGCTGGCTTCTCAACTAAAGAAGCAAAAGTCCTTGGAGACCCTGCAGAGGATACGTCTTGGCCTGAGCAATAGTCGGGAAAATATCGCCATCTTCTTAAAAACTCAGGGTGCCTTGTATTCACTGACGGGTTGCCTGACAAGTAAGGCCTGTAATGATTATTCTCTTGGATAATAAATAAAAGATTGAATTTTATGTGAAGTAAACTTGTTTCTCTCTCTGCACTTCTTTAACCCTTAAACTGCGCATGGCGTATATATACAATATATTTATATACTGTATATATTTGGGTGTTGGAAATTTCCAACACCCAAATGCTAAACCCTAGTGCAATATTATAAATTTATTGTACTAAGAAAATCTAATTCACTAATTCTACTAACCAGTAGTGTAACAATATTAATTCTCATTAATCCGAGGCATAATACCACCAAATATTTCCTAGAATTCATGGCGGCGATTGCATCAGCTATTATTCTATATCTATATTGGTGCCTTGTTGTTACTGTTTATAAACCTAATAACTCCCGTGAGTGTAATTCTTATGCTCAATCCACTTTAATTTCATGAGTAAATGTATAAATATATACATTTAGACGATTTAAAATCTATGCCAGTCTGCACTATGCAGCCACACCTCTGGTCATCCAGTATTGTTATCCAGATATGGTGAAATTTTGCCAGAAGAATATTCAGACGTGATTTAGCTAGATAACGCAAATATCTGGTTTAGTGGAATTCGGATAAGTGATCGCATACAGTATTTTATTTGGAGATTGCGCAAAAATATTTACTCGCAGTTTGAGGGTTAAATTATAAAATATTAAGATGTTTATCATACATGGTAATGTAAACATTAATCAAATTAATAGAGATGGTCCAATTTACTGTTTCTGTTATCTCCATCTCAGGTCATGATGCAAGCCTAGCGAGAGAAGCTGCTTGTACTCTAGTCAACTTGGCCCTTGGGAATGAGAAGCAGTGCTTGGAAGTGTGTCAAAGGGCAGGAGTATACATTATTCTACACATGTCTAACAACAATCCTGACCTTCAGGTGAGGAAAATAATAAGTGAAAAAGCTGTTATCTCCCCATTCCCCATTTCTTCTTTAAAATTAAGTTCTGTTGGACATTTCATTGACAAGTTTTTAATTGATGAAGTTACAAATGCATATTATTGATTTAAATGGCCATTGTCTCTCTCTTTGAAATTTATTTTGTTCATTTATAGCTCCATTTATTTCAGGATCCATGTGCATGGTGTATTGGTAATTTGTGTGGGACACATGTTAGTGTGTGTAAGTTGCTGATGACACAAGGGGTGGAAGGTAGACTGGTCAGTCTTCTTGACTCTTACTCACCACATGTATTGCAGTCTGCAGCACATGCTCTCCTCCACTATCTCTCAACCGTTCCAGAAAGAATTAAGTATGTTTATACACTGTATATTTCTTCATAATCATTGCTTGTACAATGCTCTTATCATTGGAAAATTTTTGCTCATTCTGTAGTTTTATTAAAAGCATTTGGTATTTGTGACAATTTGTCCAGTCAAATTCTTATCCAAAGATAACAAATAATGCATTATGTTAATTTAAACATCATGCTCTCATGCTCTCATTTAAACTTTTTGCCTCGGCGAGGTTCAGTTTCAGCTTCTCTCTGTCGTCTTTTGAAAGATCTCGTCTTTACGACCACACTTTCCCATCCTCATCACTTTGTAATTTTCTGGCATTCCTTAGTACTTCTTCCATCTGTTTGGCACCGTTTAGGGTGATCCTCAAAGGTCGATCTTTCCCTTTTACGTATTTGCCTATTCTCCTGTAGTCGCACACATTCTCTATGGTAGTAAGACCTTCCACGAGGCCAACAATTTTATCTACTACTTTCGCTTCTTCTACAGCTCTTTCTGACCTAGATGTTATCTCCTTTTCTTTGCAACCAAAAATTATCAGGGACTTACTCCGATCAACTGTGTTTTGCACCAACTTCAGGTTAGATGCCAATTCTTTTCTCACTTCCAGCCTAATGTTTGTTTTATCTTGGTTGCTGCAGTGTTTGGCTTCCTTTACTGCTTCAATTTTTTCCTTCTCCTTGGCCACTTGTGCATAAGTGAGTTGCATATCTTTCTTGCACTGTTCTATTCCCTGTGTAACTTCCTCCATCTGTGCTGACATAAGCTGTTTCTCCTGTTGAATTTCCTTACCTAACCTATTGTAGTCATTTATGTTTAAATTTGCTTTAACTTCTTCCAAAGCTATTTTTAAGAGTTTTCCTTCTTCCATGGCTTTGCAATTTGTTTCCAATGGATTCTTATCCTTGCACAAGTCTTTCACTAAACCCTCAAGACATACAACTTTGCTACTTAAATGGTCATTACTTTCTTTCAATTTATTAATTATTTCTACATGAGAGGTCACTATAGTATCTAATTTTACCAACTTGTTGTATAGACTGGTTATATCAATGCTTTCTTCACTGAATCCCGCAAAATCAAGCTCAGTTTTGTTTTTCCTCTTGCAGGTGGCCATCTTGAATGTTCTTCTCTGCACTGGAAACACTAGGGCAACTTTTTCTCATTTGATTTTTCACTTCCCTTGGCACATTCCTGTTATCTCACCTATTTTTCAAAAGCACTATACCTTTATGTTCTCTGGGACACCACTCACTATCCTCATCCTGTACTACAATACTTAGGATTGTTGAAATATGCTGGGCTCCTCTGATACAAGTGTTGATCCTAGGGGTGTCACCTTTTGAATGAAAAATGAATTTTGAATGTCACTTTTTGAAATGGTGTGTAATTGTATATCTGCTTCTGGTATGCAAGTGGGTCTGTCATCCAGTTCCTATGCATTTTATGTTCCCACTTTTGAAATCTCTTTTGTCTTGGTGTAAATTTTTTTTGGAGTTTCCTCCAAATCCATTATCTTGCTTGCTGCTCTGTATGTAGCATTCCGTGCCTTTCCCATGAAAGTATGGGTAACTGAATTCATATCATTTTCTGTCCTCGAATGATTTTTTGCACATGTCAGAATGGGAAAAATCTACATGTTGATCCAAATCGACACTTTCCTTTCCTAAGCATATTTAAACATTTCTGGGGATGATGGTAACTGCATTCTACTCCCTTTCTATTTCCAGAATGTCTGTCTGCAAATGCCCTTTACATAGAATTTGCATGTCTGTGCTTCTGGTCTGTCTGTCTCTCTATCAGGGACTGTTGTAGTGTCTGTAGATACCAAGCTGTCAGTTACACTTTCTAGTCTACTGTCATCTGTATCCATTTATACTGAATCAGAATTTACAAATTCCTGAATTTGTTTCAATTTTCCTCCCTGTCTATAACCTCGGCTCCTGGTCTATTATTAGTACTTGTTTCCCGCTTTTTCTAGATGTTTGGTAGACTTTCAATGAATTAATTTTTTTTTGGTCATGAGTCATGGTATCTAGGGTTTTCAGTATATTCCAAGTTGGCAAGTCCAGTACAAGTTACATACCCAGCATAAATGGCCAGCGATGTTGCTCACTTATGTACAAGCCATATAAAATCTATTCTTACATATATAACATTCAATTCCTGTTGTTTTTGTCTTCAAGGTTTTGTTGCAGTGACCACAAATTAGTTTGTTTACTGCCATTTTGCCTTGTTTGCTGTTGTTTGTTTGCACTTGGAATGGGGCTATCTCACAGTTACCAGTGTTCTATATTTTCTCTATATTTTTCTATACGTTCTATATTTTCTCTATTCTCTTGCTTTGGGCAGTTGTATGAGTGAGCTAACCCCACACTGCATCACCATGAGGCTTTTAATTTCGAGGTACAGTATCTAGCTGTACCTCAAATTATAATAATGAGTTGCCTTTTTCATATTTGTAATTTTATTTTATCTTTTAAAAAACAGGCATGTGTGTGAGCCAAATATAGTGCGAAAACTCATCAGTGCCCTAAGTCTTGGTGGTACTGTAGCAGAGGTTGCCTGGTGTCTCTTTGTGTTGTCAACCTGCAGAGATGTATGTGGCCTCCTAGTTGACCAAGGCATCATAAAAGCAGCCTTTACAATAATGGAACAATTAATTAATGAACAAGTAGGTCATTAATTTGATAACTATGGTCATTTAAGTTTTTGTAGCGAGTTATGCGGTCAGTCATATAAGTATGGTGTAGCATTTTGGGCATTTGGGGTATGAATAAAAAACTGAAAATGGTTTTGTTTGTAATTTTGGATGAGACAAAATATCACTCTATGGGAAAGTAAAAATGAAGTTGAGTTTACCCTTGATATATGCAAGAAATCCATTCCTGAAAAATCTTGTGCACAGCAAACATTTAGTTTTGTATGGTACAAATATGAAATAAATGATGTTACCTTGCTTGCATAATTAAATGGTTTAATATATAGGGATTAGTTTGTGGCAATGAATGGCAGTGAGTAGTAGAATGACATTCACTGATTGGTCACAGGCGGGTGAATAGGGAAGTCTCACATCCAATTGGTTATCAGTTAACATTCGGCTAGCAGCAGTTTCTGACACTCTCTTGAGCACACTACTGGTAAGTGTAAGAGCGCAACATTCAGCGGTGAAGCCTCTACTTAGGAGCAGACTGCATATGTTGGGCTGGAGAATGAGAGCAAGGCTATCATATAAGTACAGTGTTATGCTGAACAAGTAATTTACCTCAGTAGACTAATGATTGAAGTGCGAGAGTGAAATGAATACAGGTATGGATTGATTTGTAGAAAACAATTGATTTTATAGCATTTCTGTTATGTGGAAATTTAAAAATTTATAAATCTGGATGAACATGCTATTTACTACTGCAGTATCGTCTATCGAGTAGATGGGAATGTATCAATTTTGTGACTTTCCTGTATTTTATTGCCAGTCCAAACTGGCCCAAACATTGACCTTTTGATGATGTACCATGATGAACAAACTTCAGAAGTGTATTTTGTATTACTGTCTATTAATACCTTAACATCAGTTATAGAGCAGATGTTTGCTGCAGAGCTTATATTTAATTTGCATTTTCTTTGAATTATCAACTACATTATATTTAATTTCACCAGAATGTGAATGTTTGTGCTTTGACTGCCATTGTGCGTGTGGTGCTGAACTGTGTTGGTGCTGTACCAGGCACTGCAGTACAGGTGAGTGCGTACACGTATTTTCCTTTGCAATCCATCCTCAGACCAAGTCCATTCCATACAGAAGTCAACCCCAATGACACATTCATAAATTTTAACATGCTCATTCAAAATAAGAATTTTATCAAATACAAATTAATATTGGTACAGTATATAGTAGCATCCTGTGCATATTTAGGCATTGGATAGGTTAGGTTAGGTGTTTAGGTTCTGTTGGCAATTATTTGTATTTGTAGTACATGGGTGAAGCATTTACAGCGTTGTGGTTTGAACAAAAGTTGTCAGCGAAGTACTTGTTCCGGAAGTGTTCAGACATCATCAGTTGAGTCGTGTGTAAACTGTTCTTCATTCATAAATGGGGTTTGGCGGGTGCATGGAATGGATTTTAGCCTTTGTTTATGAGAACAGGCTGTCCCGTGATTGTTCATTCATTCATTGTACTGTTTCCCAATTTCATTGGGTAAAGAGAAATCATTAAAGATAACAAAAAGTGAATAATATAGTGAAGAAAGATCTAAATTTAAAATATAATAAATATTTCTTGTCATTTCATCACTTCACTAATGGAGTCATCCACAACAGCACCCTACTACTTCTTAAGACCCGGTGCACAGTGTTCCTCATCAACTGTCGTGTATATGTACAGTACAGTGTTAACAAATACAGTACATTCATGCTGTCTTACAGACCAGTGCAACACCAGTCTTGCCATGTACTCAATCCTCTTGTTATTTACACTGTTTCTTTCCACGCCAAGTTCACCCATTACTACCTTTTCTCTCCTTCCCACAATTTACTTGGAAATACTGTACATTTAACATTCAGATGCTATCCATTTATTCATCATCCCCAAATCTTTGTATGCTCGGTTCAATATTGTTCATTATAAAGTTTGTACGGCACATCTTTCATAGTTATGTTAGGAAAGACAAATGAGGCATTTACTAACAGTGTCACAGTGACTGAAATGGATTTCCAGAACAGTATAATCCACAAACCCTCTATTTTATTGATGCCTAATATAGAAATGAAAATGCAAACCCTTACCTTACCTTACCTTGAGGTGCTTCCGGGGCTTAGCATCCCCGTGGCCCGGTCGTCGACCAGGCCTCCTGGATGCCGGACTGATCAACCAGGCTGTTGGACGCGGCTGCTCGCAGCCTGACGTATGAGTCACAGCCTGGTTGATCAGGTATCCTTTGGAGGTGCTTATCCAGTTCTCTCTTGAACACTGAGGGGATTGCCAGTTATGCCCCTTATGTGTAGAGGAAGCGTGTTGAACAGTCTCGGGCCTCTGATGTTGATAGAGTTCTCTCTCAGAGTACCTGTTCCACCTCTGCTTTTTAACGGGGGTATTCTGCACATCCTGCCATGTCTTCTGGTCTCATGTGATGTTATTTCTGTGTGCAGGTTTGGAACCAACCCCTCTAATATTTTCCACCCTTGGGGTCGATCCTATGAGTGTTTGCATGCTTGGAAAGGCATTGTGCCTTGATTGATTAGAAGGAATTTGTTGGTACTGTACTTAATTTCGGCTGCGGTGATATGTTAGAAAACAACTCGTGTATTCTCATAGCACTACATATGCTTTTCAAACTGCCCAAATTAAATTAAAATTAATCAAAAATTAAAACTCCTATTTTAATTCTTGATTTTTTTTTTTGCATTTATACCACAGTATTATTTTACAACATATACACATGGGTTGACACACTGACACACTTTGTATTTTGATAATACACACTTCAAGGTGTACTATCTTGGTTTCTCTTCCTAGGGACTTAATTGTACCAGGCACTTCCTTTTCCCTGACTCGCTTTTAACTTTATTAAAGAAACTGTTATAATATCTTCTCTCTTCCCTTGAACACGATCCACTAATTATGTATAAAGGTTCCCAGTTACTGTTGGGTGTGTGGGGGTGAACATTACCCAGAAGGGTTCAAACTTGCACCTCCTTGCTTGCAAGGCAAAACCATTACATCAGTGATTATTTTGATTGTTGCACATTGCCTGACATTGCTGAAAATGCACATAATTTACCATATTGGTTTATGTATGTTGTGGGAAAGTGGCTTACCAGCTTTAGATACATATGAATGTTAAAAAAATACATTTAATTGAGAGAGGAGTGTATAGGAGAGGTGGTGCTCTTCACACTAGTAAAATCTGGCTTGGTTATCACATGAATTACTTTCAGGTGTGCTACCGCAGTGAACAATTTGTGCGTGTTATCAAAGCTTTGCTCTATTCACCCCACTCTCACTTGCGTAGTGAGTCCATACACCTTTTAGCCAATGTTGTGAATTCTGCATCTGAGGAATCTCTAACAGGTATTTAGCAAGATGGATAACCATATGTATATGTAAAACTGTACTTCATAAAAATATGTTGGGGCATAGAACAAATTATTCATGCCTGTAGAGGTAAAAATTATGAGATAATGTCAATTTTGCAGGCCATATAAAATTACTTAATATATTTTGTTTTCTTGCACTGTAGTTGTAGTCTGTGGTACAGTATTCATATTAATGATGAAGCAATGAACCATAAATATTGCAAGACAACTCTTTCCCTTCTATTTCTTTTATTATAATTTGTAATTCTTTCCTCTTCCTTGTTTTTCTTCACCATAAACATACATTTATATGTTATTCTTCTGGTCAGGTAAATGTATTGTTGATGACCTGAGTTTACGGGAGAGACTGGAGAGTGCTGTCCGCAGTGCTCTGGCTGCTAGGTTCGTCACAGGTCCTCCAGACACTTCCAATTTTCATGGTATTATATAAGACTTGTATTCTCTTCTTTTAACTTATGTAAGCATTTTGTTGTATTGTGTGCTGTATAAGTTCAACCCATCCTTTATCTAAATTATGTTGTAGTATTTATTTAGAAAAGGCAAATAAATATTAATGAAACTTTACACTTTTTTTTATAATTACCTTTTTCCACATAAATGAGGTGTGCTAAGTACATCATATGTTTCATTGCATTCTTGCTTATTTTCTGCATGAATAAAGTTGCAATACTTAAAATGAAACGTTAATCTGTATTAGAGCATGCCACCATCAATTACACTTGTCTTATTCCTGAGATATATATGCACCAGGCCCACTGCTTACTATGACAAAGTAATTATCAATAGAAGGTGCCATTCTTGAACTATGATAGATGATGGGTCCCTGGCTCAACCTTCTTCCTCTAACCTAATATTTTAAGCTTGGAAGAAAGTAGTGACAAGAGGATAAACAGGAGAAATACTGGGAATTAGAGCATTCAATATAGGCCACACATACTTAACTACTATATCCGCTAACACCATACAACTATCCGTACTAGACAGAGCAAACCGAACACCAAATACACCTTACAGTGAGACACAGGAATGATATACCTTGCGATGATTTTTGGGCCTCAACGTCCTCGACCAGGCCTCCCTAATAGAGGCCTGGTTGACCAGGCCATTTGGACCAGATGTACCAAAAAAAAATCTCCCATTCAAAATAATTCAGTGTAACCACACATACCTATAACCTCTGTAAGGCTTGGAAAAATGAAGATAAGCAAAATTCCTATCTTAAGTGGCACACTAAAGATTACATGGATATTGAGGCTCGAATTCCAAATTATATCATCATCATCAGATGTGATTAAGAGACATGGAGAAGTACATTTCTATGTTAAAGATCCATTCGCCTGCAGAATTGTAAACTAGAATATGGTAGCGACATTAGGAATACAAAAAAATTAAAAACCCAGATGCAACAGCCAAAGAATTTTCTGAATATAGTTAGGAAATATTAAGAATTACATAGAAAACTTAGTAAATATTAAAATAAATATCCTCTTAGAATTGAACCATCCAAATTTGAGGTGGAAGATAACAAATAATAATAATATAGTAGAAAGTAGTGTCTGGAATTAGTTTATAACAAGAAGCTCACACTAAACTAACAAAACAGATAATTGAGCTGACAAAATAATAATACCCTTGACCTGATTACATTATACTTGAAATACAAATATAATGTCGAATGTAATGAAACAACTGTGCATTCCTTAGTGGCTTTCTTGAGTTAAATGCACAGATTCAAAAGAGCTGCTAGCACCGCAGGAAATTTGACAACTTATGTAGGCCTACCGAGAAAACAGAACAATCTCTCTGGGGCGAGGGGAAAATAGGGATTGAAGATCGACCTGCTACCAACGTGAACTGCAGTGAAAGTGTCATCAAGCAAATATTTGTAATGGAACAATATGAAAACATTGCCACCACTATTTGGCCATAGTTAACAATCCTTGCTCCAACTTTACCCAACTACTACCAGGTGGACCTCCTCATGAGAGGTCACTGCTAGCTCATTACTCACTGATGTGCCTGAAGATTTGAACACCCAATCCCATGATGACACAGTGAACAAAGAAGGAAAGGTGAGCCACTGAAGGCTCTGCACAGAAAATATTTACCTTTATAACTATGGGAAAATAATATATTCTCCCCCATTAACTAACAGGGGAAGACAAATTAATGACATCAAAATATGGAGTGAGCTACGGAACAGTGATCATAAAGAAATCAGATTTAACATAGAATGGAATAGATTTGTAGGAGAAAATTATGTTAATTTCCCAGATTTCTCAAAACCAATTTTAATGGTCTCAGGAATTTTTTGGGTGAAATAGATTGGAAAGTCTATTCATGTCATAGGGGTGGGCCAGTCACGGAGGACATGAACCCAGCGATGGGTGATGTAAAGAGAGATTTTTATGTAGATTCAAAATATAACTTATTTAAAAATATTCTAAGCAAGGCACAAGAACGTAGTATACCATACAAATTGAATAGATCGGATTAATAATGATCTGGATTGGATAACAAAGGATCAGAAGCTTATAGGTAGAAAGAGGGCTTGGTACAAAAGGTATAAGAATGGAGGAAATCAGTTTCGAAGAAGAATTCATCCAACTAGTTAGAAATTTTAAAAAAGAAAAAAAAAACTAAGAGGGCAAAAAGAATTACATATAAATAAAAGTACTGTACCTGCTTGAGGAAATATGATCCCCCCTGTTACCTTGCAGTAAATAGGTACCTGGGTGTTAGTCAGCTGTCACGGGCTGCTTCCTAGGGGTGGAGGCCTGGTCGAAGACCGGGCCGCGGGGACACTAAAGCCCCGAAATCATCTCAAGATAACCTTAAGATAACCCCCATTGTTTCAAGTGCAGGTTAGACTGCACTTGAAACAAGTGCAGTCTAACGTATATGAATGAGATTGGGTGGAAATAAATAGGAGCTGCCTCGTATGGGCCAATATATCTGCAGTTACCTTCATTTTTATGTTTTTATACTAGGCCTAGGAATATTTCTTTGTATCTCCATTTTTTTGGACTATAAAGTGAATAGTATAAAATTCTATTAATTGCTTAGTAGGTCAATGTTTGTACTATGGTACAGTTACAAAAGAGTACTATCAAAACGGGAGGACAAGTTGCCATACAATGCTTGTGTGACACTTGAGGGTGACGTGGCATTTATACTTTCCTACTCTTACCCCCCAAACCCTTGCTATCTGGCTTCCTATTCCCTCAGGTCACCCATTTGCTACCCAGTCTCCCAATCTTTATGTACCCAATCTGAACATCTTTACCATTGTGATCATTGCTGTCTTATATGTGCTGTCAATCTGCTGTATGGTGTCTATTAATCTTGTTTAAATTACTAATCTCTGTCAACGTAATCAATCAGAGCTTTAATATAACAATGTGCTTTAATATACTTACTAAGCTCTCTCATCTCATTTTTCTCTTGCAATGTATCTTTGTCATTTATCAATTCTGATAGAAATTACCTACTTAAAATTATCTGTTAGATTAAGAACCTGCCCGAAACGCTGCGCGTACTAGTGGCTTTACAAGAGTGTAAATACTGTACTATCTAATGTATTCTCACAAACCCAATGTACCTTCTTGTATATATATAAATAAATAAATAAATAAATAAATTTACATTTGTCCAAATAATTATCTAATACTGTATATGCGCCTAGTAGATAAATGTGACATGATGCTCGGTGCCATAGAGCGCGTGCGTAAGTCTGTGAAGTGGAGGAAGAAGTTCTTTTTCCACCTAATAGACGTTGCAGTGCTCAACTGCTTCAATATGTATCTTGTAAAATCAGGCAGGAGACTGCCAATATGGACATTCAGTGTTGCAGTTGTGTCATAGGTCGACCGAGCGGACAGCACACTGGACTTGTGATCCTCTGGTCCTGGGTTCGATCCCAGGCGCCGGCGAGAAACAATGGGCAGAATTTCTTTCACCCTATGCCCCTGTTACCTAGCAGTATAATAGGTACCTGGTTGTTAGTCAGCTGTCACAGTCTGCTTCCTGACACTAAAAAGCCACGAAATCATCTCAAGATAACTGTTCGTAAAGTATAAAATGAAGACAGACAGACTGAAGGGTAACAAGATGTTCGGTGTCCACATGCTCGTGTATATGCCAGGCAAAGCATCACGGGAAAAGGGTAAACGTGGCTGTATTGCATGCAAGAACACTACCCGTAGAGAAGATGCATCAGCACCTGGTGCGTTGAGTGCCATGTTCCACTATGCCCCGTTAATTGGCAGTTTCGCAGCCTATCACACACTCGCGGAGTTCTGAGTGTGTTGATGGTGTATGTATACAGTGTGTGATACTGTACAGTCTGTAAATATATTGTAAATATACATAAATGAGCATGATACATGGGAAATATGTGCAAGATATGTGAACACACCTGTGATGCACGTAACACGTGATGATGCAAGTGATGCACGTGTCTTCGGACAGTACAGATGTTCTACTGCCATAATATAGTGTACGTGTTCATTATACATAGGATTGGCAATTAAAAACACAACAAATGGAACCTCTATTAACGAGTTTAATCCGTTCTGGCACCGAGCTCGTTACCTGGAAAACTCGTCTTAAGAAACAAATTTCCCAATTTAAAATAAAGGAAATAAATTTAATCCGTTCCACTCCCAAACACATCCATACTTGCATGACATTTTTTTATGTAAATATAATACTGCACATGTAATTATAAATGTTTTGTTGTACTGTTTTAATGTTTACTTTACCTTATGAAGAGTAGTTGCTGGCTTGAGGGAGACGATGGGGAGGTGGAATTGATTGATTGATGAAGATTAAGCCACCCAAAAGGGTGGCACGGGCATGAATAGCCCGTAAGTGGTGGCCCTTTGGAGCCATTACCAGTATCAAGAGCTGATACTGGAGATCTGTCGAGGCGCAACTGCACCCTGCGTGACGGGAGATGTCTCCCGTGAAAGGGAGGTGGGAATGAGATGGGTTATATTGTGGAAGGATAATCCACCTCTGAGTCAGGCGGGCTCTCTCCTCTTGGGAATTTCACCCCACTAGGACCGGGTTGTTTTTTTTTTTTTTTTTTTTTTTTTTGAGATATATACAAGAGTTGTTACATTCTTGTACAGCCACTAGTACGCGTAGCGTTTCGGGCAAGTCCTTAATCCTATGGTCCCTGGAATACGATCCCCTGCCGCGAAGAATCGTTTTTTCATCCAAGTACACATTTTTACTGTTGCGTTAAACAGAGGCTACAGTTAAGGAATTGCGCCCAGTAAATCCTCCCCGGCCAGGATACGAACCCATGACAAAGCGCTCGCGGAACGCCAGGCGAGTGTCTTACCACTACACCACGGAGACTGCCAATCACTATCACTGGTTCTTCTTTTCTCTACTTTTGCAAAGAACGTATCTATTGACAGTTGCTTTTGTCTTTGTTTTAGGATGTTCCTAAAACGAGACAGAAAATTGTCACACTTTCGCGCTCGCGGTAAACAAAAACAAAACTTGCCCCAAGTGCGCTGGGCGTTTCGGGCGATCGAGATGCAACACTTGCCTCTCTTTTCACTGTCCTGACCTTAATTTTCGATGTTCGTATTTCATTTTTATACCAATGTGTTTGCAATAGAATGTTCAAGAAGAACATATGTATAAAATGTCACACAAGGATGCGTTAGACCGGCACCAAATAAAAAACTACGTCGATTACACTCGTCGGGTCAACAATACAATAGTCTTACCACGAAGATACAATACAATGCCGTTCTCCCAAATACACTCTGTGGCTATTAGAGAAAACGGAAATTTCATGGCAAACATGTTTATACTATCCCAAAGTCGATCAGATAAGAATTGGATTTTATAAATATTTGTTCAAATGACGCTTGAGCGTGGCGTTTGGGTGCATTCAAGAGAAAAAAAAATATGTCGCACTCAAGTGACATATACCTGCGAAAGTGTTAAATTAATTACACATGTTCACACACACCGGGTTGTCACTGCTATATCAGGGCAGCTTTTCCAAGAATGCGTTCACCATTTCAAACATTTCCAACACTTCCCTGATCTCAGTGGAAGAGGCAGCATCCTCCCTTACTAATGGTGTAAATTGTTGATGAGAACCTGCCATACTCCCTTGTGAGATCAGTCACACAGACACCACACTCGTGCTTTGCTATAATTTCCTTCTTCAAATCCCCAATAATTGTCTTTCTTCCTCTTGACAACACTATCTTTAGCAAGCAGCTTCTTTGGCGACATCGTAAGTTACAAATTGTAGTCACAAAACCACTAAAAACCCAAAGAAAAGCGCAAATAAATCCAGAGAGATGCTTGTCGTGTGTGACACAACAACAACACTGGCGTCGGAGGCGTCCGAGAATTGCGAGAACCCGCGAGACGTTAGGAAGCACCATGTGGTTTTGCTCGTTAATAGACACAAATTTGCTGCAAGTGGCTCGCTCGTTATTGGAAAAACTCGTTAATCGAAGTTCCACTGGTATTTGGAACTGTGCGCAAAAAATTAACAAAAATATATTTGCGGCAACTCGCGCATCTTGAACGTGGTGCACGACTGCCCCCCACCCCCCGGGAGCCTAAATCCATCAAGCAGGTTAATCAATCTTTCATGTGGCACTATGTCAAAAGCTTTTCTAAAGTCAAGGTACACAATGTCACAAACCTTACCACTATCAACTGCCTAACTATGCTGGAATAAAATTATAGCAAATTTGTTAAACATGAATGGTCGTTAGTAAAACCATGTTGTGAATAATTTATTAATCTATGTTTTTCAAGACGAATGGCTTTCACAGTTATCAATTCAAGCAACTTTCCCACAAGACATTAAGCTAATTGGTTGATAGTTTGATGCAAGTGATTTATCTCCTTTCTTCAAAATTGGTACCACATAGTGTATATTTATTGGGCTGAAATATGATACAGTACTTCCAAGTACTGGGTATTGTACAGTAGTGTCTCATATTCCTATAAGACTAAAATGTATCAACACAAGAGATTTATGGATCTATCTTGAGGTTATTTTGAGATAATTTCGGGCCTTAACGTTCCCGCGGCCCGGTCCTGGACCCGGCCTCCTTTTTGTTAACCCCCAGGAAGCAGCCCGTAGCAGCTGTCCAAGTCCCAGATATTTATTTACTGCTAGGTAACAGGGGCATCAGGGTGAAACATTTTGCCCATTTGTCTCCCTCCACCGGGGATCGAATCCGTAACCTCAGGACTACGAATTCGAAGCGCTGTCCACTCAACTGTTAGGCGTCCTAGGATCCTGTGAGCTGGAAAGAATTGGGTAACAAGACACTCTTGGCAGACTGGAATATGGTTTCCACTCCACCCAGTTGTGTTACTAGACCAATCACATCCAGCTAAAAAATACTCAAACTTCATATTTTATCAAAGTTTTTACTTTCTCCTGCCTTTAGTAGTAAATATAATTTTTTTTAATTTTGCCTTAGGAAAAAGCAGCAGTTTTTTGGAAACCGTGGGGGTGATGCAGTAGGTGCCACTACCACACAAGTGCCAAGTGAGGGCACAACACATGAGCTGTGGAGCCAGTGAGGAGCTCCCTCTCCTCGGGTAAGGAAAAACTATCTTCCAGAGGGTCCCAATCTTTTGGGGCTGGTAACTCTCCACAAGTCTGAGAAGAAAAAATAAAATAAAACTTCTATAAGGGAAATGCCTAGATTGGTCCCCAGGGCCATGGAATTCCACATACCTGAGCAGCAATGAGGGGGCCACACTGGAGCCACTAAAGACAGGTTACCTCTTCCTTTTTGACAGAGAAACACCACTGATTCAAATGGCAAAATGCCTTCTCACAAACCACTGCAGACAGACCTCCCTGCCTGGACACCCATATCCATCAATACAGGGCAGCCCTTCTGGCAAGTGGTTCAATAACTCAAACAGTAATTCCGAGACCATCCACCTAGTCATACTTAGTTGTGCTTGCAGGGCTCTTTGGTCCAGTCTCTCAACTGGTGTACTATTATCCTGAGCCTATTAGGCTCTATCATATCTACATTTGAAACTGTGTATGGAGTCTGCCGCCACATCACTGCCTAATGCATTCCATTTATTAACTACTCTGATACTAAAAACATTGTTTCTAATGTCTATGGCTCATTTGGGTACTCAACTTCCACTTGTGTCCCTTAGTGTGCATGCCCCCCCTGTGTTAAATAAGCTGTCTTTATAGACAGTGGGCACACACAGTTGTCTGTTATCACAGCAGGTCAGAGGGAAATGCAGAAGCCACCCTTTGACAGCCCAGAAACTTGCCAGGAGTGCCACCCTCACCATGCCAAAGTAGCACCAGGAGGAAGGGTTTAACCAGTAATGGAGAATATTTTATGGCTTTCAGGTTGAAAGTGCAGGAGTATGCTTACATGACACCTCTTCAAAGTTAATGATAATAAGGCAAAAGTTACAGGTTTAGATTTATTTCAAGTCCCCATTCTCTGGGTCCTCTGCCTATATATAATGACACTGAAAAATGTATCAAAATAGGGTGGTACCCAGGCAGGCAACTCACACTCAACAATCCATGTACATACAGTGCCCTTGACTCATATTATATCACCTGAGGCTCATAATATATCAGTTATATAATATACAATGTTTTTATTTCATTATCTCATTTTTAAACAACCTAATGAGAAATAAACTCGTGAGTAAAAACAAACAATGGCAAGGAGCACATGCACAGTGAATTCTATCTCGTAATGAAACTACCCAAGTTTTTTCATAATCTGTACAAACAGTTTGGAATCATGAAGGTTCCTTCAACTTTGTTCAGGGTTTTCCCTTCAATAATGAGGTGGTTCATAGAATGTAATAACAAGGATGCTTTCTTTACCCGAAGGAAAATAATTGACTGAACAAGTTGGTCGAGTATATAGTGCACTGTGGTGGCTAAGTACAAAATGTTCACGCAACTCAATGCTAGTTTTCAGAAAATGATATATACAAAGCTAATAAAGAAAAGAAAGCGTGTGCTTCAAACAAAAAAATAAAAAAAAAATAAAAAAAAATAAAGGTCTCCCCTTTGTGACTAGCTGAACCATAACTACGCAACAACCAAACCTGTACATTCTTAGCAAGAGGAATATAGTTGGGTATGATACAGTCTGGTATACTGAGTGACCCCTGACCTCATCAGCCAGTATGATGTAGCTTTTACATCTTAAAAAAAAAAGGAGATAAAAAAAAAGTCAAGCTGATGCTTTGGGTCACGATTGACCTCCTCGGACTCCTGTGTACAACGTAACTTTCTTAACTATAACTCCCCCTTCCTGACTGAGCAGTACAATTCTGTTTATAAATTTGCAATGTCCTTTAAAAATTGGTTAATAAATATTTAATGTCAAGTGCAAACTGTACGTGGTAGAGTGATCAAAACCACACACACTTTATATTCAACAGCATATACAAACTGTATGTGGTAGAGTGATCAAAACCACACACACTTTATATTCAACAGCATATACAAACTGTACGTGGTAGAGTGATCAAAACCACACACACTTTATATTCAACAGCATATACAAACTGTATGTGGTAGAGTGATCAAAACCACACACACTTTATATTCAACAGCATATACAAACTGTATGTGGTACAGTGATCAAAACCACACACACTTTATATTCAACAGCATATACAAACTGTATGTGGTACAGTGATCAAAACCACACACACTTTATATTCAACAGCATATACAAACCGCATGATGACTCATTACCCTGGCATATAATTAGTTAAATATTATAAACCAATAACTAAGCATTTATCTCGAGTATAATGAACGCATAACAATATCACTGGTTCACCTTCACCATAACAAAGGCACCATTCAAAATACCTTACTAGTCCAGATCTTTTAACACTAAATGTTACAGTACTGTATATTCCCTCAAAATGCAGAGGCTCAAAAAACTATTAAACAAAAAAATTAATAATAATAAATAAAAAAAAATTTGCAGAGTATACCAAAATTATTTATTAAAGCATTTTAAGTTTTCAAGGCATTTTTCTTTGCCAAGAATCACGTCATTAAAATAATTACAACATTCAAATTCATGTTAGAACAGCCAATGGTAAACTAGTTACAAAGCAATGGTATAGAGTTTCTGGCTGCAACGTATGCATATCAATTTTTGTAATGATAAAAGCCATAAAGTAAGCAGAGATTAATAACTGATACACACAGGTGGATCATGAGTAATAACTGACACACAGAGGTGGATCATGAGTAATAACTGACACACGTGGATCATGAGTACATTTTCAAAGGCTTGACAATCACATCAAAATTCTGAATTAACATTTTAAATTAGTAATTGTTATAAGATTAAAACTCCCTTATCAAATGTGGGCAAATTCTTTTCTGGTAATACTGAAAGACAATATTGGTCAATATATAAATCCATCTCTGAGAATGTCAGAATTATTGCCTATTGTCATAGCATGGCAAAGCCATCTTCTATGTACATGAATGCATTAGTATCCATTCAAATGTCAGTAATGGGTACTGCATGTGAGCAAAACTGGTTATGGTAGTGGCTAGTTTTCAACAGTAAGCAGAATTTCAAGTATTGCAGCCATAGACCCTATACTTATTACCTTCTTGTTAACAACTTGATGGAATTCAAACTCTCACTACATACAGTACTGGCACGAGCCTACCTTCTGAAGTATCACAGAGTCTGTGGATGTAATTTAAAACTGTGCATCATGTAATAGAAATTTCAAAGTCAACTGGCTCCTATCTTTTGTCCGACAAAATTGATCTTTACAGGTCAATATATTAATTTACCCCGAGTGTTATTTCAGAATCGAGACCAAAACAGCATAAATCAAACAAAATTAATCATGGGTGGAAGGGGAAACTCAGGCAAACACTTACTTCTACAATATGGAGCCAAAGAGGGACTTTTGAGGTTTGATTTAATAATTGGCAACATGTTTATAAAACCTTCCAAATTCCAACAATGAGAATCAATATGTAGGAGAAACTATCAATAGTAGGGCACTTTAGGGCACTAACATAATTACAGGAATACAAAGGCACATAATTAACAGTTGTTTAGAGAAAAATGAGTCTCTACGTTCAACTACAAATGTGGAATGTACCCATATAAAAACTGCCAAAAACTAATCTTCATAAAGTGCATAATGGTCAAAGAACCACACCATTAAATGTCACTCCTACAAATTCCTAAAGGAAAACTAGAATTTACAAAAAATACTTTCCGTTCTGAGACAAAAGCCACACATGGGCAAGGAGTTTCTTTGGGTTATTGATGTACTACACAGCCTGGATAAAAACTTGAATGAAGAATAAAATTTCAAGGACAGGATATCCAGCTCTGCCCTCAGTTAAATGTGGCAACCATGACAGAAACTTGGCTTTAAACACCAACTTCCAGTTTGGACCACCATTCATTAGGTTTAAATATGCCCTTCAAGGATTACGACTTCAATAACATCTGGAATAATATATTAACACCGTAAAAGGCATTAATCAATAAGAAATACATGTTTACTTAATAATAAATAACCCATTTCCTTTCAGCTAAAAAAGATGTTCAACTGAAGAATTTATGACAGGAACTGTGGAGGTATAAAAAATTTAAGATGACTACTAACCAATTAGAGATTTATGAACTGTACATATAAAACTGTAGTAGTCATGCTAATGTTTGTTTAACAACAAAGCAACTTCAAGCTCTTTAACAAAGCAATATTATGAATGATTCTAATGTAAAGTGTAAATATATGATACAAGAATGAGATAATGTCCATTATTTAACCAAACAAAACCATATTAACTGCCTTTAATGATCATGATAACTTCTGCCCAAGTATGTATAAGTGTACACTGTGTTCATTACCAGGATTATTTTAGTTCAACTATGTCATATGCTTTCACTATTTATTTTTTCAATGCAAATTTAAGTTACTGATGCTTGACATTTGGATATAATTTTCAAGGTTAGTATCTCTACACAATATCACTGCATCCTGGTGTTAACATCACTTACAACAGCCCTGCAGTCTGCAAAGTCTAATACCGGGACCTTGCAGTGAATTTCAGCTACTGGGCGAATCCACATGATTATGGTTGGGTGTGGAGGATGTCGTGCTAACAGTAGTGGTAGTAGTTATGGTAGAATCACCAGTTGAATCACTTGTGGAAGAAGTGGAGGCTGGCTGAGGAGGACAGAAGGCTCGGGCACGAGGACAGATGACATGGCACTGTGTTTTATAATGGCTAAGTTGCTCTGGTGTGGCTCCAAACTCACGGGATTCCAGCCATTCTAATACTTGCTGCATATTCTGTAGGTTACATGCAAACAAAAATAATACTAAATATTTATGGATTAAACAAAGTGGAGGCAAGTGCACGATACTAATTTTCTAGTCATATACTGTATAATATACGAAGCAGATTTTTAATAAATAAATACAACAAAATGTTGAGATGAGGATAAAACCTTTTCATTATTACTCTGAACATCACTCAAAGCTTACAGTAGTCAGAAGTATGATGCAGTAACAAAGAACAAATATCGGCCACTTATCTGAAGAGAGCTTCACTGGAATGTAAACAAATGAAAGAACTCCTCTGACAAAACACGAAATCTAACAATCATGCAATTTGAAACCAGTGAAAATAGAAGTCAAAGATGCTACAGCCTTTCACAATATCTTGCTTATTTGATCAAGAGAGAATTCTTACAAATGTCTATGTTTTGAGTATTCATACATCAATTTTTAAATTATATGTCAGGCTGCGAGCAGCCGTGTCCAACAGCCTGGTTGACTAGTTCAGCAACGAGGAGGCCTGGTCGACGACCGGGCCACGGGGACGCTAAGTCTCGAAATCATCTCAAGGTAACCTCAAGATATATCTATATAAAAGAGCATTGTCTGTGTGTTTTTCTGTTCAAAGTTGGAGGTCAGATGATTAGATGATTGCAGTGAGCCTCACACAATTTTCCATGATTATTTGTGATTGTATAGAGAATGTCATGGTTGAGGTTGACACAATCCCACAACCCCAATCATAGAGTGATTGGGGTTGTGGGGGGGTCATCCCCCTTTGTCAGCCTTTTAAGTAAAATTTGGTTCCTAATGTGATAACCAACAACTCTTATGACTTAAGACCAACCAACAGTCATGGTCATACAACCACTGTATGACCAACAGCCATACAGTAGGACCAAACTGCTTCAAGGGTATCTCACTTGTCTATCTTTCAACATACCTGATGTGTTCTGTCAGTTAGATGCGCGTCCAGAACTGTTGCAATGGAAAGGGCACGTTCACGCTGTACACTATCTAGAAGCACCATGGAACGAGCAGCTGCAAATATAATTATTCCATTTGGGTATAGTACAGTTCATCAAAAAAGTATTTTATTGTATACAGATGTTTACCATACTAAATTAGACACTGAAAATAATCACTTGTATTACAAAATATACAGTACTTAAAATAGAAAACTCAAAACCTTTAAATATTTATGCAAACATTTAGAATTAAATCTGAAAGAAAGAATTATTCTGATGAAATTCTAAATCTGACGAAAGAATTATTCTGATAAATTTCTAAATCTGATGAAAGAATTGTCTTATGATGAAACATATGTGAAAAAAAAGAGCCAATGAAAATCTAACTAAGTTAACAAAGTCATAAACATACTACAGTAATATGATGCAGTAAATCACCAACAGTGAACGCGACAGTCATGTGCACACTCATCTCAAGTGTTAATGAACCCAAAATATAATGAAAATAATGAGAAGCTGGATACTGATGGATCAAAGGAATGGGGAATAATACTGTAGTTTACATATTGACAAGGAAAACCTATTTCATTTATTTCAAGTTATAAGTTTTAAATGTCAATTTATTTGATTGAATTATTAAGTTTTAAATGTCAATTTATTTGATTGAATTATTAAGTTTTAAATGTCAATTTATTTGATTGAATTATTAAGTTTTAAATGTCAATTTATTTGATTGAATTATTATCGCTATGTGAGACGGCATCTCACAGCACTACTCCATTTGAGGAAATACAAGCATAAAATTGGCATCGGTTTATATTCACAAACAAAATAGTGATTTTATTCTTGTAAACAATCTTCATATCAACATTCTATTTTCCCTTGTCAATTTTCATAACACAAAATGTAAATACAGTACTGTATTATATACGGAAATTTGAAATTAAGTTTATTTTCAAGCTGGCTCCTTTAACCTTTCCACTGAATGACACAATGAGGGATATTCTTGGCAAATATCCGTAAACTGCATGACAGAATCAGGGATGGTTTAACCTTTTAACAGTGCAAATTGTATACTGTATGTACAATTTTGGTTTAAATGGCTGAACGGCGCACATCGTATATATACATTTTAAAGTACCATGGCTACACAGGGTTCACATCAGTTTCCTTAAGGCTATAGTAAACAGACGCCATTTAACGAAAAAAAATCGTGGGTGACATTCCCTGGTGAGAGCGCCTCAGTACTGAATGAGCAACCAAGGCTGGCACATGCAGCATGAACTAACAGCACTGCTGTTCAGCTTGTGACTATAGCACCCCCTGAAAATATAAAAAAACAGCGTGAAGGTAATGAAACTCCATTTTCTGGATGAGACCCGGAGGCTTCCGGAGCTTTCCAGGCTGATATGCTAATGTCAGACTTTGGCATCAGTCATGTGTATGGAGTACTGTGGGCCTACCGGGGACCACGAGCCAGAACCTGGCCACCTCAGATGAGGCAAGGGGAAGCAATGGCCTACAGAAACCCCCCCATATCTTGAGGTTATCTTGAGATGATTTCGGGGCTTTAGTGTCCCCCGGCCCGGTCCTCGACCAGGCCTCCACCCCCAGGAAGCAGCCCGTGACAGCTGACTAACACCCAGGTACCTATTTTACTGCTAGGTAACAGGGGCATAGGGTGAAAGAAACTCTGCCCAATGTTTCTCGCCGGCGCCTGGGATCGAACCCAGGACCACAGGATCACAATTCCAGCGTGCTGTCCGCTCGGCCGACCGGCTCCCATGTGGTTGGAAGCATTCTATGTCTGCCATCGACCGGGTCAGGCACCCAGAAAGGTAAGCGTCCTAAAACAAACCCCTATTCTGGTGAAAATTGCTACCAAAAGCCGAACAAGTGGATAGAACTCTCCAAAAGAAACAAGCAAACGAGCATGACGTCACACGTCGCTGTGCCGCTGTCTGCACAGCTCCCCCCCTCCCCAGGAGGGGAAAGGGGGAGCCGCAGACCCCGTGCCGGCTTCCCATCCTTCAGTTCTGAGGCTGGATATCAAAACATGTGAAAAAGTTCTATTTCTATTTGGATATCAAAACACGCGAAAAAAAGGGGAGTTCTATCCACTTGTTCGAGTTTTGGTGGCAATTTTCACCAGACTAGGGGTTTGTTTTGGGACGCTTACCTTTCTGGGTGCCTGACCCGGTCGATGGAAGACACAGAATGCTTCCAACCACACGGGGGTTTCTATAGGCCATTGCTCCCCTTGCCTCTCTGAGGGGGCCAGGTTCTGGCTTGTGGTCCCTGGTAGACCCACAGAACTCCACACACACACGACTGATGCCAAAGTCTGACATTAGCATATCAGCCTGGAAAGCTCCGAGGAGCCGACGGGGTTTCCCCCAGAAAATATATATGTAACTGCTATTATTTAACGAAGATAGTATTACAGAAGAGCCTGACTCTGTGATAAAGACTGTGTACAATATTCAGATACCATTGAAGACAATGTTTTTCAAGATGTTCACAGTGCTAGCCACAGCACACTGCCATTGTTTGGTCCATCTAAGAATCTTGAAATGACTTGTCATGTTCCTTTACAAAATAAACTTGTGGAAAAATATTCATTTACAGGATTTAGTGACCAGGATTCTGATAATAACAGCATTATGGTGAGAATTACCGATGTGCGTAGTATGGTGGGAGGAGGAATGTTGGTGAAAGAGGTGGCATCGTCACCTGGCTGGTATGTGTCTTATGTGTGTGTGTGTGTGTGTCATATAGTATATACCAGCTCAGTGGTTCGTTATGGTGAACACAAATGTAGATTCTTATATATAATGTGTTCATATAGTGTAATAACAGCACAAACAGTATGCTGGGAGGAGCGTGTTGGTGAGGGAGGTGCCGTCGTCTACAAGCCACTGTGTGACTTGTCATGCAGTGTGTAGTGGCCACTATGCTGTTTGGAGACCATAACAGCTTAGTTGTACAGTTATGGTGAACAAAATATGTAGATACTTATATATATAAACATGTGTATATAGTGTAATAACAGTAAAAGTATGTTTTTATTGTTTTATGAACATAATAATTGAATCACTAATATGCACACCATACTTTTGAGTATAGCAATGGTTCTCACATTTTATTATATAAATATATAACACAACACACTACTGAATAATATTACTGCAAAAAACAAGATAAAAAATCAATCAGAAACATTGAAATACTTAGGTAATATCATCTTTGTGGCAACTCCTGCCCGATGGCTCGGGTGGAGACCGGCCTCGGACATGTATGCTGTCAGCGCCTGAATCTTGCCAGACCTCCTCACTCTATTGCGGCCAAAATATATCACCTACTGTACGACTTTATTATTTTTCCCATGATCAGGTTACACATTTTAACAATCTTAGAAGGAATCCCCCTCCCCTTGCATACAGCAGTGTTGTCAGCTATTAGCAGCAGCACCGCCCAGGGGTTAAAGTACCATGCGAAATTTAAAAGTCCTGCTGTATAAATGGGGCAACCAGACCAGGGGCTGTTCTGATTTAATAGTAAATAGCTGCCATCTTGGAAAGAATCCCGAGTAGGCTGCATTGGTGGGAAGGCGTCGGTATGTATGAAGATACCATGGCTGACACATGTTCCTCCACGGCCCAATGCCACACTGTAGTTCACTCCTCAGATTCGCTTACTAATAATGAAATGAAAAAAAATAAAGATGAAGAAAATGACTGATGATTGAGATAAGGATAACAATTATACACAGGACTCAGAAGGGAGTCATACAGTGTGTGATGTCGACATATTTATCCGCCCCCAAGGCTGGGGCCTACACCATCACCATTCCTGTCACGGCCTCACGCTATACCACAACTCCCACCTTGAGATAGGCCCAGTACAACATGTGGCACATGTTGTACAGTGCCTGTCTGGCCTACTGTGCAACTTCTTGTTCCCAAAGCCATGAACATGTGGAAAATGACTCATTTTCCAGATTTAGTGACCAGGACTCTGATTGTAGTTTTAGCAGCAGTGTGGCTAGTGGCTGCAGTGTACATAATGTCACCCAGCCAAATGCAGCTGTCATGTCATGTGGGGAAAGTGAGGGACGCATGCCCTCATCTTCAAATGTTCGTGCCCAAAGTGTGCATAATATGGTCATCATCATCTAGTCGCATTGTGAGTGCTAGAATATGTGGCCATTGTGCTGGTTGTGTCACCTTCAGAAGTGCAGGTGTACTCCTGTGGGGAGATGGTGTGGACTTTGTTCTCAAATCCCTACATTTGATGCTACTGATATAGGAGGGGGGGGGGGGGGGGGGGGTTAGAGGCATTTTCTTATAAACTGGTGAGGACATGAGTGAAATGGAGCATTTTATGGCATAGTTTGATGAGCCAGTCATGAAACACTGTTCAGGAAACGAGCAGATATGCTGCTTGTGTGTTTATTGTTTACTGAATAATGATGAAACATTCAGTGAAACACATCATCCAGGACTACTGACACAGACTTGGGTGTAATATGAAAATACTAGTCTCAAGACAGGTACGGTATCTGTTACTTCTCAGGTGTATTTATTTTGAGAAGTGAAAACCAGAATGCAGATAATAGACTGAGGAAGGTGAGGCACATCCTCAGTGAATCAAATGGGAAGTGCTAAGATTTCTACATACCAGGTCAGAACCTGGCGACTGATGAATTACTTGTGCTTTTCAAAGGACTACTTGCTTTCAAGCAGATTATCCCAAATACCAGATTATATACAAATACCACAGATTTGTACTCAAATTCTTCATTCTGTGTAATTGTGAAACAGGAATGCCAATGTACACGATACTTTATTCTAGCACTAACGTAGACATTCACAATAACGGTCCTCACGGTTCTTCAGCCGGTGTAGTGAAGTCATCCATCGTCCCACTGCTGAACAAGGGCCACGTTTTATATATAGACAATTATTATACCAGTCCCTTGCTAACGAGGTACCTGCTCTAACATAATACTAGAGTGTGTGTGGCACAGTAAAGTCATGGTGGAGGGAAATGCCAGTGTTTGACTAAAATATTATGGTAGGTGAATACCGGGTTAAGAAAAAGTGACAAAATACTTACAGTGCATTGGAAAGGCAGAAAAGAAGTGAAGATGTTGACAACCATTCACACTGGCAGGATGGTAAACAGTGGCAAGGTCAACAAAGCAACCAAAGAACCAGTATATAAACCAGATTGAGTTGTGGACTATAACTAAACATGCACTTGGTTGATAAGTGTGGCATGATGGATGGTGCTGATGAGTGTCAACGTAAAACTCTCTTTTGGACTAAGAACATGTTTTTCCACCTTGTTGATGTAATCAATCTAAACAATTACAATTTATGTATATGGTGAAATCAGGCTGTAGACTAACTATGCATGTGTATAGTCTTGCTGTTTTGAAAAAATTACTGACAAAGTTCGGTAGAGAAGTTCATATCAAAACCAGAGGTTCTCAGCCAGACACTGTCTCGTGTTGCTCCACGCAGACTGACTTTCAATTACACAACAATGAAGATATATCACCTACTGGAAAGTGCGCATGAGGCCAATGTAAGTACACTGTTTATAAGAACACTCAAAGGAGGCCCAAGGTACAGAAAGTAGTCACAACAAGGTGCAAAGCATGCAGTACTACATGTGTCATGTGAACTGCTTCAGTAACTATTCACAACTTCTAAGCGTTTCATAATGGGCATAAACAGCATATATAGTGGTGAAACCCTCACAAATGCTTTTGAAGTTGACTGCAAAATAAAACATTTTGTGTGCATGTTTGTGACACGCATATATTTGAATCAATGTTCTGCAGATTTCATTATGATAGAACGTCAAGTGACACCTTAGTGAACAAAATCAGTGAAAAAATTGTGACCAAATAGGTCAGAGATACTGTAAATACAGTAAATGTATAAGAATATATTTATGGCAACTCTCACCAATGAATGGCTCATGTGGCTGCCGGCATACTCACTGCAGGAATGAGCATGAATTGGTGACGTCGTTGCACGATTTCTTCGCTTGTTCACAGCCACAGTAAGTCATATTAAATTTGATTATTATTTTTCCCGCTATCAAAGTTAAATTATTATCTTTGTTCCCGCAATGATAAAAGATCATTTTAACAATATTATATATATTTTTTTTGTACACTGGGGCATTGTCAGCTATAAACAGGGGTGCAGTGCAGGGATTAACATCCTATTCATACAGTATTGGCTTATTCTTGCTGTAAAACATTAATAATGGGGCAAACCTTGTAGCCTATGTGGGAGAGATTCTTGATTATTATTTAAGAAATCTTCATTGAGCTTGTTAGGGTCCATTGTTGGGAGAAGTCGAGTAACTTCCCTGTTAATAACATCCACAATAGTACCACATTGATTGCTAAGTTTCTCTTGTCTATACTGCAAAAATCGTATTAAACACGTGTGGAGTTCGGGGTTGTGAGGTTCCAGCTTAAGTGCTCTTTTTAATGCCTGAAAACAAAATTCATATTAAACTGATATTCAAGTAGAGTAACTGGTTGACTATAACAAACCTACAGCATATGCATATACATGTTACAAGAATATACACAACTGCAGGGAAGAATGGAAACTGCACGTGCATTAGCTGCAAGTAAAAGAAGCACAGCTCATCCTAATACAGTACAGTAGATACAGCTGAAATTCAAGTCTAACGTGAGAAATGGAAGTACAGTACAGTATATAAGCCCAATTTCTGAAATATGTTATGAATAACTGTAGGCATAAGATAAAAAGCAGAATCACCTCATAAGCACCAACAAAATTGCTCTTAGCATCTGCCACTCATACTTGTATCATTCAGTCTACAGGATGTTTCATGATTTCCACAACAATGTATATTCCCTATTGATTTTTAGGTTATTTACTACAGTACAGGTATTGTGATGTGCTCATACCCTTAACAGTGACAGCATCAGCATTGGTTATTAACATATGCCTTTACTTTAAGTCTAAACAATGTGATCTCTATATACTAGGGCTAGACCAAGGCACTTCAAAATCAAGAAGAGCGTGGGCGTTGGGGACAGTTTCTCACCCATAATTAACACGAGTCTCTCAAGGTCTTACTTAATTCATACCCGAGATTATTGTATTATTTCATGGAAGCGCAATACACACGCTTGTTATACACAAGCTAAGCACTGGCTTAAGAGTACCATGTGGAGGTACCTGAAATGTGGTTTCTCAAACATGGCTGCCTTTGTTGACTAGAGCATTTTCTTCAGGAGAAAAGTTCTCGCCAAGAAACGTAACAAGTCTCCATTGTAATTTGGGGATATCACCGACAAGCCAAAGTTATGTACTTAATGACATAAAACATGTTCAGTTCTAGAATTAATTTTTAATTCAGAGACTTTAATACTGTAAATGTAGTTTAATTCTGACAAATGGGAATGTGTGTGTTGTACCTAATTGGCCAAGTTGCCTAACAAGCCAAATTTTCCTGAAATATTATATTTTTCCAACAATTTTTCTTATAGAATGATAAAGCTGTCCATTACATTATATATATGATTTTATTTTTGTTTATTCAATTTAAAACAAATAAATTTGATTAAACATAACCTAACCTAACTTTACATAACTAAGTCAGTAATTCATGATCCTAATATATTATTATAACAAGTGGAATTAACCAATTTTAATGAAATATTTGAAAATAACAAAAATCACTGCTTGTTAGGCAAATTGGGCCTTGCATACTAGGCCAAATAGAATGGTTCCAGCTTTTGTGATAAAATTCCTAAATGCTACAGTGATATTAAATTGTTTGAGAAGTTTAGGAATTTTATTGAGGAGATATTAAAATTTGGATTATTGTTTATAAAAGTAGATTCTATTATTTCTTTTGAAGCCATGTGTTGGAGATCAATAATACACGAATCAGCCCATTACATTTTGTGACAGTGTCCTTTACATGTTTATATAATGCTGAGCTTTCTTGCCAACACCTAACAGACCTCTTGTGTTTGGTAAGACGGGATTTTAGATCCCTGCCTCTTTGGACAAAATAAACTTGATTATAATCATTACAAGGAATGTTATATCTTGAGGTTATCTTGAGATGATTTCGGGGCTTTGGTGTCTCCGCGGCCCGGTCTTCGCCCAGGCCTCCACCCCCTAGGAAGCAGCCTGTGACAGCCGACTAACTCCCAGGTACCTATTTACTGCTAGGTAACAGGGGCATCAGAGTGAAAGAAACTCTGCCCATTGTTTCTCGCCGGCGCCCGGGATCGTACCCAGGACCACAGGATCAAGCATACAGTGTTCTGTCCGCTCAGCCGCCGGCTAGACCTCGGCGACCTCAGCTTTATCGTTTTTTTTCTGACATGTTTTAATATCTCCTCAGGGCAGTGGTTTCCTGATTTGCTAAGTGATTATGTAACAAGAAGGTTATTACTTAATGCTTACACCTCTCCCCAGGACACCTGACCTAATGCCATACAAGCTCCTACCATACATCCGTCATTCTACCACTTACGGGCAACTCATGCCCATGCCGCCTCTTGGGTGGCTTAATCTTCATCAGTCAATCAATCCATCATTCTCTCTCATTGCTGAAGAGGGTCCCAGTTTGGAACCAAAATATAGTCTTTGTTTCCTTGTGCTTTCAAAGTAGTGGGTTATTTTCATATACAGTACATATATGGAATGTTCTAGTAGACAAGGTGGTGCTCTGAATAGTTGATGCTTCTACTGACTATAGAAAGCACAGATTGCCTAGTAACAAGCATTTAACACATGAAATAATCTTTTCAATAAAATAGGAAGACAATTTAAAAAACAACTATACAGAACTATACTGTAATTTGCATACCTGTAGCATGAGCAATGGCCTGCCTTTTCGAAGATAAATTTCAAAGGCCATTAAGTGAGTTTGAATTCTATTAGGTGCTAAAGATTGAAGGGGCTTCAAAAAGTGAATAGCTTCTCCTAATGGATCCTCGGTCCGCTCCAGCTTACTAGGGTCTAAGTCTTCTGCAGGTTGATTATCCAAGTCATCCTGTGAAGATTTGCAAAGATTAAACATAAAAACTATTTGAAAGACACACGCACACACACACACACACACAGTATACATATTTAGGTATTTAGGTATACATAGTTAGCTCGGTAGAGCTGCTGTCTTGCAATCCGATGGTCGTAAGTTCAAGGCGCCCATGGAGCAATTGAATGAAATTTTTTTTTTTCAAAGCGTTATATGACAAAGAGTGCTGGGAAGACGGGACACCACGAGCGTAGCTCTCATCCTGTAACTACACTTAGGTGTAGTTACAGACTACAACTACACACACACACACACACACACATGTATGTATATATACACACACACACACACACATGTATGTATATATACACACACACATGTATATATACACACACACACACACATGTATGTATATATACACACACACACACACATGTATGTATATATATACACACACACACACACATGTATGTATATATATACACACACACACACACACACACACATGTATGTATATATACACACACACACACACATGTATGTATATATACACACACACACACACACACTACACTACACTACTGTAATGCCAGTTTTCCACATTTAAATGTACAGTATGCATATATACCTACATACACGTGTAGTTATAAAATGTAAACATGTTGTTCTATATGACATGCCAAATGCCTTTAAATTCCTCAGCCGTCTCAACATGAGGTTATTGATTTACAATAATTGTTCTACAGGTTACTGATGTACAATAGCTATTCTACAGGTTATTGATGTACTGTACATGTTTAACATGTTACTGATGCCGTTGGTCCACATGATGAAGCCACAAAATGTTTTATTGTGAACATAACATTAAATGATGTTTCTTACTGTGTTTCCACCAGACTTCGCTTTTTGGTGCTCTGCTTTCTTCTCCTCTTTCTTTTTCTCTTCTGCCTTATTCTGTTCAGCTTTCTTTGCTGCTTTACGTTGTTTTGAACGCAGCTTCTTGAGTTCTGCCGGGTCCATATTTGCTGAAATTAAGAGAGAACGTATACTCTTATGTTTTACTTTCAATGTGATATACTGTGTATATATGTGTATAATATATATATATATATATATATATATATATATATATATATATATATATATATATATATATAATATATATATATATATATATATATATATATATATATATATATATATATATATATATATATATATATATATATATATAATCTGATCACATGATGATTACTGAGAAAGGAATAAGTACAAGAAGAGCAGGGTGTAATTAAAAAAAAAAATAAAAAAATTATATATATATGCTGCCTCCATTACCCCTGCCCCCAGCTCAGCCCAGCCGCAATCTTCCCTCACCCCGCTACCTGCGCCTGACCCAGCCGCCCATCAACGCAGCCTACCCACATACGATACCCAGGCCATGCCCAACTCCCCAGGAGGGTAATGCTTGCCTTGTTACACTCCATTCGGGAAGGAGAGGGTGCACTCAGTGGGCAGCCAGGCGTCAGGACATCAGGCATGGAGCATGTTGCACCTGTCACACAGCCTCCTTCCAGTCAAGAGGGAAAACGCCCAAGTGGAAACTGTCGAGTGTGTGACAGATGGTTTCATCTTGTTTCTGATGGAACACCAACATTCTGTCAATTCAGGTCGTTGTCTAGGGTCTAGATACCCGACCTGGGGCAGTGACAACAGACAACCTGCTGCAGGAGCAAGGAACGATACCTCCCTCAACTTTATTTCAGCAGACAATATGCTTCAAGCGGTCAAAGCGACATCCACCAGGACCTTGTCCCACATCCCCAAAGCTGCCCATCACCAAGCAGCAGCCAAACTCACCAGTCTGCTGACAAAGGTCAACAATGCTCCTAGAATCATTGGAGCATGCCACAATCTCCTACTATTTGGGAATGCATGCTTGGCATTACCTCTGAGGAGAGACAAGTCATTAGCAACCTCAGTAATTAGGGCTCTTAATAGATTCCCCAGAAAAGACAACCTGGTCCGCCTTCCCCCCTTGTGTCAAGAACACCAGCCGCAGGACGACCAAAAACAGCTCACCTGAGAACTACAAAATGAGAGCACAGATCACCAGGAAAATAGAAGAGGGCAATACCACAGGTGCAATCAGAATCATAACCAGCGATGACACCATTTCCCATACGAACGACACAAGAGCACAGGCTCTACAAGACAAACACCCACAGAGAGCTCCAGACAGTAGCAGGGATCCCCAGGAAAACAATGCATAGAACACTCGACTGTTCGAGAATCTGTGGTGTACAAGGCAGCCATGTCTTTCCCAACAGGTTCAGCAGGGAGCTTTACAGGCCTAAGACCCCAGCACATCAAACAAATACTGAACCCAGTGCTTGGAGATGCCACAAAAAACCTTCTAGTGGAACTTACTAGATTCTCCAATATGTGTTTGACTGGCAGCATCCCTGAGGATATCAGGCCTCTCTTTTATGGAGCAGCACTCTGTGCTCTAAAGAAGGATAGGGAAATCAGGCCCATTGCCTGTGGTAACACCCTCCGACGCCTCGTAGCTAAGGCTGCAGTTAGATCTATCAGCCAGGACACAGCCACCTTGCAGAAACCTAATCAGCTCGGGTTTGGGATCCCCCTAGGCTCTGAAGCTGCAGCACATGCACATGGCTTACATTGCTGATATCTCGAACCAGAAGGCACTAGTAAAGCTTGACTTTAAAAATGCCTTCAATCAAGTCAGGAGAGATCTGTCCTCAGGGCTGTACACAACCAATTCCGTCCCCTTTACACATTCATCTGATCGTGCTACAGTGGGGACTTTAAGCTTCTTTTTGGGGAGCATGAAATAAACTCCTGTGAAGGTTTCCACCAAGGTGATCCCTTGTCCAGGTCTTCTTGAAGGGGCATGACAATCATCTAGGTTTCTTATCTTCCCTATTATCTTAGCATCATCAGCAAACATGTTCATATAATTCTGTATTCCATCTGGTAGATCGTTTATGTAGACAATGAACATTACCGGTGCAAGAACTGAACCCTGCGGTACTCCACTTGTGACATTCCTCCAGTCCGATACATTGCCTCTGATTACGGCCCTCATTTTTCTATCAGTTCAGAAATTTTTCATCCATGTTAGAAGCTTACCTGTCACCCCCTCCAATATGTTCCAGTTTCCAGAACAACCTCTTATGAGGAACTCTGTCAAAAGCCTTTTAGGTCCAAATAGATGCAGACAACCCAACCATCTCTTTCCTGTAAAATCTCTGTGGCTTGATCATAGAAACTGAGAAAATTCGTTACATAGGATCTTCCAGTTCGAAAACCATACTGTCTATCTGCTATTATATCTTATTTTCCAGGTGTTCTACCCCCCCCCCCATTTAGTTTTAATTATTTTTTCCAATATTTTAACTATTACACTTGTCAATGATACAGGTCTATAATTGAGGGGATCTTCCTGCTGCCACTTTTGTAGATTAGAACTACAGTATGTTAGCCTATTTCCACACATCAGTTACAACTCCTGTAAACAGGGATGCCTGAAAAATCAGTTGAAGAGGAATGCTGAGCTCAGATGCACATTCTCTCAAAACCCATGGTGAAACTCCATCTGGACCAACTGCTTTGTTCTTACTTAGCTCCTTGAGTATTTTTTCCCATTTCGTCCCTAGACACCTCTATGTGCTATGTTGTTCTCTGGAATTCTTATTATGTCTGGTTCACTGAAGATTTCATTTTGTACAAACACACTTTGGAACTTTTCGTTTAATGTTTCACACATTTCCTTTTCATTGTCCGTGAATCTATTTCCCATTTTCAACCTCTGAATATTATCCTTTACCTGCAATTTGTTGTTTATGAATTTTATAGAATAGACCTGGTTTTGTTTTACATTTGTCTGTAATCCATTTTTCAAAATTTCTTTCTGCCTCTCTCCTCACTGCTGTGCAGTTGTTTCTCGCATTTTTGTATCGCTGGTATGTTTGGGGGTTCGGCCTCTTCCTGTATTGATTCCATTTTTGTGTCTTTTGGTCTCTGGCCCTCTCGCAATTTCTGTCGAACCAATCCTGTTTCCTAGTTCTGCATCTCTGCTTTGGTATAAATTTTTTTGTGCCTTTATCATATATTTCACAAAACTTGACATACATCTCATTTACTTCATGTCCTAACAGCAAGTCTTTCCAGTAAAATTCTTTAAAGAAAAGTCCGAGTTCCCCATAATGACCTCTCTTGAAATCAGGCTTTTCAACTGCTTCAACCTCATTTTCTTGCAGATTATAAAGCATTGCATACTTTATTCCCCAAAATGATATGGTCACCTTTACCCAAGGGAGGGAGGTACTGAATGTCAAATATCTCTTCCTCTTTCCTGGTAAATATCAAATCCAGCATGGAGGGAACATCCCCTTCCCTCATCCTCGTGGCTTGTTTAACATGTTGAAACATGAATGTTTCCAGGATGAGGTTTATGAATCTACAAGTCCAAAAATCCTCTGTTCTAGCCTCCCAGTCTATGGATTTCAAGTTGAAGTTGCCGACTGCCAACAGTCGTGATCTATCTTTATCAGGTCTCGCTATAATCTCCCATTATTGTTATATGACCCCCTCATTTATTATCCAGCTCCTCCTCTGACCATGTGTTGCATGGGGGTGGACTGATCGTTTGTTTATCATCCTGATTGCAGATCTCTAGTGCTATTATGTCATCTTCTCGTGGATTGGCAATCATTATTTCATTTACCTTTAGGTGTTCTTTCACCAGCACAGCAACGCCACCACCTTTCCTAATTTTTCTGTACTGTTTCCAGACTGAGAAACTTGGGAATATGACCTCATTTAAAATATCATCTTCAAGTTTTGTCTTCGTGAGTGCAACAATGTCTGGTGTCTGCAGATGTATTACATCACTTAACTCCAGTATCTTTGATCTCACTCCATCTGTGAACAAATCCACAAGGGCTGTGATGAGGATTCGAACCTGCATCCGGGAGCATCCCAGACACTGCCTTAATCGACTGAGCTACGACAGGGAAAAGGGTTGAAACCGAAATTCTACTGAACTTACTGGATCCCGTAGCCTCTCCGAGGCACAAGCCAGGATTTTACACAACCCCCCCCCTGCACCCGAGCTATATCAATAGGCCGTTCTCCCTCTTCGCCCTTACATCATTACACACAGAGATCACACTAACGTGATCACACTAAGAGGGAAAATGGCCTATTGACATAGCTCGGGTGCCAACCACCCAAAACCAACCAGCCAGCCAATTAGCCAGCCAACCAACCACAACCAGCCAATTAGCCAGCCAACCAACCACAACCAGCCAGCCAGCCAATTAGCCAGCCAAGCAACCACAACCAGCCAGCCAGCTAGCCAATTAGCCAGCCAACCACCCACAACCAGCCAACCACCCTCAACCACAACCAACCAGCCAGCCAGTCTGCCAGCCAGCCCCTCTTTCTGTCAGTGTTGGGTAGACAAGCCCAGTTGCCATCCCGAGACAATAGGCCAGACCAGCCTCCGGCCCCACTGTATACAGTCACAGTATGGAGAGGGAGCGAGACAATGCAATTAACGGCATTACGAGTGGGTGTCGTCATGAGGCAGGTCAGAATACAGGGATATGGGTGGGTGGGGGGGGGGGGGGGGGGTGAAGAAGGACAGGACAGGCCGAGGAGGAGGAGGATATCCTGTTCTTACGGTTCAGATTCTTGACTCTGGGAATCCCCGAGTTCATACTGTACCATGTCACCTTCCACTCCAGGATACTTAACCTGACCTGACCTGACCTTCCACTCCAGGATACTTAACCTGACCTGACCTGACCTTCCACTCCAGGATACTTTGCCTAACCTAACCTTCCACTCCAGGATACTTAACCTGACCTGACCTGACCTTCCACTCCAGGATACTTTGCCTAACCTAACCTTCCACTCCAGGATACTTAACCTGACCTGACCTGACCTTCCACTCCAGGATACTTAACCTAACCTTCCACTCAAGGATACTAAACCTAACCTTCCACTCCAGGATAC